TATTTGGAATGTCTTCCGGATGACTCAGGCTGTCGTGATTCCCCTCAGGTGCTGCGCTGGATTGTTGCTTCTTTGAGGCTGGTCCCTGCCCGAAGTGATGCTTGACTGCTGGACTTTTGAATTCTTATATTAGCTTTTCCTGGTTTTTCCACCTCCGCCCGTAGGAGGAGTTGTCAGATAGCAACTCATATCTACCGCTCTGTCGGTTTGTGAACTTGGAAATCTGCATTCCCCAGCATGTCAGGATTGTGTGTCGCCCACAGTAAGTGGAGTCTGGGTAGAGTCTGAAAAAATAACGGTTTCCCTGCATAACTGTTGTGATGCCGGTTTTGGCTGCTCAGAACCCTGTCTTTTCTTTAGTTCCAGTCTTCACTGCTGTCCTCCATAACGAATCTGCCGGAATCACAAATTGATGTTGGGCAAGACTGTACCATCTATGCCCTCTGGTGGGGCAGTCACAACCTATATGTGTGAAAACTGAATAAATGAGGTCACGAATGTAGAATCACTGTCAGCTCTAACATCTGATATCTGTGGTCCTGACAGTTTCTGCGGTTGGAAATGGCTCCGGGCAGAATGGGACCGCCTGCTCGGGACAGCCATACCCGGAGCGGCTGCTGTAGGACTCTGGAGGGGGGTGGATGCTCCCAAGGAAAGCCTCCTGAGGCAGAGTGGCTAAGAGCATGGGCTGCCCGGGTTTGAATCCCAGCTTTGCTACTTGCTAGCTGTGTGAACTTGGGTAGTTTACTTGATTGCGTTGTTCTTCAATGTCCTACTCTGTAATTGAATAACAATTTTTAAAAAAGGACTAAATGAGTTTATATATGGAAATCCTTCACAATGTGCCAGGTACTATCTAAGTGATTGATAAATGCTACCATAATTATATTATTTTAAAAAATCCTCCTCAGAGGGTATGTTTATTGGTTTTAGAGAGAGAAAGACAGAGACACACACATACAGAGAAACATTGATCAGTTGCCTCCTGTAGGTACCCTGACTGGGATTGAACCTGCAGCCTCCGTATGTGCCCTGACCAGGGGTCGAACCTCCAACTTTTTGGTGTATGGGCTGATGCTCCAATCGACTTAGCTTCCTGGACAGGGCTATATAATTATTAATCCTAGTGGTCAGGGAAGTCTTTCAGGGAGGAGGTGGGACTTGGCTAGATCAAGGATGACTGAGTGAGCTTGATGGAGGTGGAAAGGAAAGGATGGGGCTTTGCCATAAGGAAAACAGCCTAAATGAGGAGTCTCATGTACCAGACAGTGGGTGTGAGTCAAGTGTCTCGGTGGGGGGGGGTGGTGAGGAGACCAAGATGTTTGTGCTTTGTGAGAGAGAAAAATCAGAACTGTGGAATCAAGTGAACTCCTCGAAGTCTTGACTTCCAGGCCAAGAATGTAGTTTCACTGGAAGTTTTAAAGCCAGACAAATTTGGGTTCAGCTTTTGACCCTGTCCCTAATGAACAGTGTGCTCTTGGAAAAGTGTCTTCCACTTTCTGCACCTCGGGTCCCCATCTCTACCAGGGAGTCACAGCAGGGGACGGTGTCCTACAAGGGATCCACTGACGAGGGGACGGCGGTGAGGAAACAATACAGTGCACCGAAAGAGCCAGGCACACTTGAAGTGCTCATTACATGAGATGTGCTTTTTATTATTCACTTGACAAACACAGCCATGCTTTTTCCTGAGCCAGGAACTGTACTAGCAGCTGGATATAGAGAGATGAATGAGACATTGTCCTTGCTCTTGGATATCTCGCAGTCCAGTCAGGAAGCGGGGGTGGAAACGCAATCGCAAGACAGATCTGATAAGTGAAATAACAACACAATGTACGTATTGAGAGCTGGCACGAAAGAGGGATGGCTTACTCTGTCTGGGAGGTCACTTCAGAACACAGACGAAGCTGTTCTGACCTGGTCTGAAAGCAAGAGTCGACTTTTTCCAGAATGTTTAGGATGAGAAGAATAAGGATGGGGAAGGGCATTTCAAAATATGTGCAGAAACATGGCATGTTAGGGAAATGGGAAGAAATTGGGTGTGGCTGGAAGCCTAAACTGTTGCAGGAAAGGAGATTGGAGAGAGGTGTGGTCAAACTGTGAATGGACTTTACTGAGATGAGTGGACTTTATCCTGTAGGTGCTGGGAAGTTGGGAAGGTTATATGCAGGGTTGTGACTTGGTTGGACCACTTTGGCGGTACTTGGACTGTGAGCTGCAGGGTGAAAAGACTGGCTGTAGAGGATGTTGTTTAAGAAGCTCATTAATGCTCTGAGGGGAGGATCTGATGGGGGTCTGCCCTTAAACGGTGATGGAGGGATGAAAAGGGTTTCTAGGAGCCTAATTCAGTTTTTCAGGTTTTGAAAGGAACCAATGGACCTGGTGGTTGGTATGGAAAGAGTGGGGCCAACTCCTGGGTACCTAACCTGCCCAGGGAATGCAGGTAGGGGAGAGGGCTTTGGGTCGGGGGGAATGGGATGGATTTTGGACACATGGAGGGTGAGAAGCCCATGAGACACTCAGGTAGAGCTTTTCTAAATGCAGGTGGATATATAGGTTAAGAGGACAGAAGAGAGGTTTGCACTGGAGCCACTGAAAAAGTTCTGAATGTGTGTGCACGTGTGTGTGTTGTGTGCATGTTGGTCACAACAGTATTTGGTCAGGTGTATCTGCTGCTGAGAAAGCCAGGCTGGGGTTGGTCAGGGAGGCCAACCAGCTGGAGTCTAATGCGGGAAACCCGGAGTGAGGATGGGGGCTATGGCGACTTAGCGGTGCAGAGGACGAAGGCCAAGGTGATTTTGTGCTCCTGGGGAAGTACCCTTGTCTGTCCAAAGGAGGTAGATAATACCATGGAGCTCACTCAGGCTGCTGCCAGGTGGAGGCACACTGGCACGTACTGAGGGTCTGTATGGAGTGGTGGTGAACCTCTGGAGCCTGGCAGAGTGTGGATGCTCAGGAAGTGCTGGCTGGAAGCAGTGCCTTTGCTGAACACAGGGAAACAAGCACTTTGTTGTGGGGGCAGAGGTGTTGAGCATGGCGTTAGTGGTAGAGTTTGGATGGCAGAGAGCTGCCCAAGTAATTGCTGAGCAGACAGGTGAGCATGCAGGGCTGGCACCCAGGGAAGAGGCTGGGCCTGTACAAATACAGTTGTTTTCGGATCTCCTAAATGACAGAAGGGATCTGTCACCGAGGAGGGCTGGAGAAGAGACAGGAATGTGGAGGGCGTGGGACTGAGCCTGCAGGGGCCCAGGGTGGCTGGTGCAGGGCACAGGTTAATCAGCAGAAAGCGAAGAGCTGCAGAGAAAGTGGAGCCAGTGCGCCCCTGGGTGCCACCTCTCAGAAGCCAGGAGAGGGGAAGGCTTGTATGGGCAGCAGGCCAAACTTGGTTGTTCCACCTCCCTGAGCATGGCAGGACCCAGGGCGGTGGCAGGGGGCAACACCTTTTGAAATACCCCCATGCTGGATGATCCAGAAGGCACCAGGCCTCCTAGTTCATGCAGGTGCTGGAGAGATGGTTGTGCCGACTGACCAGGGCCTTTGCACACCGGGGCCGAAGAGGACTGATGGAGGGCTCTCGGTGAGCACCCAAGGGTTTTCCCAAGGGCCTCTTCAGTTAGCCAGGCCTCGAAAATATAACGGGACTCAGTTTACTTAAGAAAGTCATCGTATACACAGCTTTTGGGGACGAAGCTGGCAGGTAAAAGCAGCTCTGTGTTGTATATAGTGTGTCTGTGACATATCTAGCTATGTAAAGGCTTGAGTGGGTAGGTTTAGAAAATGGGAGAGAGGTAGGTAGATGGGTAGATAGGCAGCTGGATAAATGGATAGACAGATAGAGAAAAAGGGAGCTATGTTCATCTCAGGGTGTGTCTTTAGCCACCGGAGGGCATGTGGGGTGGTGGTGCCTGCATCTAATATCGTGCATTAGATCACTGTGTGGGTATTGATTCTGCATTCAGCCTGTGTGTGTGTAATGGGGGTGGCATAAGTTATGATAAATGACAGTATGCGTTCCTGGAGGATAGCTAAATCCCGAAGAGCGAGTGAGCAAATAACAAAATGCGGTTGGAGGTAGGAGGAGACGGTGTGTGCTTCCAGGCCTAACTATGTAGTGAAGAGCTGTTTGTGTGTATGCATGTGTATGTGTGCGTATCCTGAGGCCCACGTGTGTGTGTGTTTCCCTCCGGGTCTGTTTGTAGCCTGTACTGTTTCTATTCCTGCCTGTTGCTTCTCGCATGGCTCCCAGCAGGTGGGCATGGCAGAAGTGTTTGGAAGGGGTGACTTGGTCCTCTTACAAGGCAGGCCAGCCCCCAGCCTGCTCCAGGACCCTCAGTCAGTGGAAGGAACTGCCTCTGTGGGAGTCGCACAGCACTTTGGGGTGAAAGGGTGTTTTCTGATTTGTATACCCATGACTTTTCTCCCCTGGGTGGGTACCATGTGGGGCGCAGTTGGGTCCTGTGTGCAAGGGCTTTGGATGTGAGCTGAGTGAGAGATTACACGTGTCTCTAGATCAGTAAGTGCCTATGTGTGTCAGTGTGTCACTGAGCATGAGTGTGTGTATCTCTGGTGAGCCCCATGTGAGCGTGTCTCCATCTGTCTCAGAGATGCAACGGGATGCAGGGGAGAAGCGTGCCTGGAGGGGCAAGATGCTTGACTGTGGCTCCTGGCTCTGCCTCTGAGTCTCCATGTGACCTTGCATGGCCACTTCCCTGCCTTGGGCCTCAGTTTCCTGAAATGCGATATGAGGCTTGGGTCCTCTTGGGCTGTGTGACGCTGTGTTTGAGGCACAGACTCAAAAAACACCTCGGTCTTGGTCTCTGTCTTGTCCCCAGCAGGGCCTTCCTGGTTGGATGGCCTGCGTCAGGGCCTGGGTGGGCTTGGAGACCTTGAACCCATCACTCTCCTTGGAGCCCTGTCTGTAGTATCCTTGCTAACAGCCTCTCTCTCTCTCTCTCCCTCTCCCTCTGCTTTGCCCCTTGCTGAACACCACTGGCCTGTAGAGGAGCACCCCATGGAAGGTGAGTGATATCTTTTGGTCACAGAAGTGGCCAATCGCTGTGGGATCCTATGTGGGGGGTATGGTTGGCCATCTGAGGGCTCCCTCCCCAGCCCATGCCCAGGGAAGGATGTCTGGGTGTCCCCTTGGCGGCCTCAGCCCCACCTCTGGCCTTTCCCCTCTTTATTGGTTTGCGGGGAGAACTGCCAGACAGAGGGCAGACCCTTGCTCGTCTTCACTGTCAGTCTGCCTACTGGTCTTTCTTTTTCTTCCTTAGGGAGGGGACAGGGATTGTGAGGGGAAGGTGGGACTGGAGGGTTCTGAAGTGCCCAGAAGCCAGTGAGGAGACACTGTTTTGCCCAGCCCAGCAGATGAAGCTCAGAAAAGCCATGCTGACCTGACCTGGGTGGGCTGGGAGCAGTGCTTGGGTGGAATCCTCACTGGGGTTTGGAAAGGGCAGGCAGGGGGTGGGCCCTGTCCCCAGTCAGCGAGTGTGTAGGTGGCAGCTTCTCCGCTCTGACTGGCACTTGCAGCAGACCCCTGTCCTCTGTCCTGTGGGCTGGTAGTCTGCTTCTCCTTCAGCCCAGGCCAAGGGCAAAGGTGGGGCAGGTGCCTCTCTCTGGGGTCTCTCTGTCCATTCTTTCCCTGTCTTCTCGTTCTTTTGCCTTTTTTCTCTCTCTCTCTGGGTGTTTTCCAGGGCTCTGTCCCTGGACCTCTGTCTTTGTCTCTAGTTTCTGTCCTTCCCCAGGCCCTCTTTGGGTTCCTGACATTCTCTGAGCCTTCCCCCTCGGTTTGGTTCTCTGTTTCTTTTCTTCTTCCGGGGTGGAGTAGGTCAGGGAGAGGGAAGACCTAGTCGGGTGATCGGACTTGGAGGCTGGGCTGCCGGCCAGCTGTCATGGCCACCACAGGGAAGGCAGGCACCAAACCTGCCCGCCTTCTCTTCCTGGAGAAGCAGCAGGAGTGAGAGCTCCTTGGGCCTGGGCCCTGCCCTGGGCGCAGTAGTGGGGAGCAGGAGTCCTGGGAAAGAAAGGAGGGAGGGCTCTCGCCCTGAGCGTAGGGGTAGAATCCATTTTTCCTGGTGGCGTCCACAGTTTGGCTGGTCTCTCTGGTTGATGTCTCTTCTCTGTGGATGTCCTCAGGTCCCCTGGTCCTAGTGTGCAGGCACCCTCGTGTGTGTGTGTACCTGTGTGCACACACGTGCACACAGCTCTGTTGTGTCATGTGCCTTTGCGCACGCCTGCACACATGTGTGTCTTCGTGTCTGTGGAGGAGAGTGCACCTCCCGTGCTGTGTCCCCCGCGGTGTGGCCCCCGTCTCTGTGCCTCTGCAGGAGCGTCTGCCTCTGCCTGCACCTGTCCCGCCTGTGTCTGCGTCTCCGTGTGTCAGTGTTTACTTCTGCGTGCACGAGAGTCTGAGTGTCTGGGCGGACGCGGCCTTCTGAGGGCTGGAGATAAGATTTAGTGCTGATGTGACTTTTCGTTGCTTTTGATGTCATGTCTGCTCTGGAACAAAGGGACAGATGAAGGGAAGCCAAGAGAAGGGAGAAAAGGGCAGAGGAGAGAGGCTTGGGGGGACCAGGAGGGGGCAGATATTCAGGAGGAAGGAGAGCAGTAAATAGTGGTGGGAAGAGGCGGGATGCTCAGGGAGGGAGGGGCAGAGAGGGTTGCGCTGGGAAGGGCAAAACGTCCTGGCTGAGAGGAGTGGGTTGGGGGGCTGCTGGGGGAGAAGACTGGAGCTAGGAGGGGAGGGGAAAGGGAGCAGCTCTTGTCTGAGCCAGTAGGATTGGCAGGGACACGAAGGGGGCTGGGCTTTGGGGACTAGTGAGGAATGAGGTCTGTGACGTCACCCAGCCATTTCCTGAGGGCAGCACAGTGATCTGCTCCTTTGGCCGGGGGGCCTTGAGTGTGCCTGCATGTCAGTGGCTGTGCAGGGGTGTGTGCCTGCGGCTGTGTGAGTGTGAGTGCATGTGTGTGTACAAACCTAGTGATGTGATGCTTCTGTCTGTCTCTGTGACATGTCTGCTATGTGTCTCTCAAGGTTGTCCCCTATAACTGGCTTCCTTCTTTTGATGGTCCTCTGCTGGTCCTCTTGGGAGTTTGGTAGGAGAGGAAGAGAGGGGGACTGAGAGTGGGTGTGGCAGACGGTGGTTTAGGGACGTGGGGGTGCGGGGCCTCCTCTGTGGCACTGTGCTCTGGACTGTGCAGCCCCCCCTTCGGATCTCTGAGTCCTCCATGCTTCACCCTCTCTTCTTGCCCCCCGATGCTGTCTCTCAGGCCTGGCTTTCTCTCAGGAGCCCAGCCATCCTGCTTCTTAGCCCCCTGCTGAACATCTCCTTTTGGGGGACCCTGGCTGCCCCACCTCCTTTCTCTCCAGCCTCTCGTAGCAGAAAGAAGACACAGAAATAACCAGATAAAGTGCCCTAAGAAAGGACCTTTGGTAGTGCCATCCTTCGTCACCGCCAGCTCTTCTCCTGTGGTGGGAGGAGGGGCTGATGCCACAGGTGGACATGAGGAGGGGCCTACTGAGTGGGAGCTGGGCATGAGGAGGGAGGAGAGGCTCCAGGGCCAGGTGGGGAGGCATGGCTAGGTGGGAAGAGCACCCTAGGGCCAGGTTGGGCTGAGCCTTGGGAGACAGGGCAGGGAACTGGCCTCCCCTTCACCAAGATGGCTGGTGCTGTCACGCCTGAGGGAACTGAGCAGCTGGTTGCCGTGGTGACAGAGGGAGAGCGCTGCATGCTAATGAGGCTGGCTAGGAGCTGGGCAGTGCAAGGGTCTACAAGGCACTGCTCTCCCCTGCCCCTGCCCCTCCCCCCACCCTCAACACATGTTTGCAGGGGACAGAGGGCGGGTCCACAGGGCACCAGCTCCTGGGTCTGGAATTCCAAAGGTGGGAGCATATGAGCCAGTCTATTCTTGCCAGATGAGGGGTTAGGGCTTTGGTCTAGGTTCTGAATTTGGGGGTTTGGAAGTGGATGCAGGTAGTTCTTGAGGAAAGAGTTGGTGAGGGGCATTCGGAGCAAGACAAAAGACTCAGTCCAAATGCTTGGGCCCCTCCTGTTTCGTAGATAAAACCTTTGTCTTCCTGAGAGCTGTTCTGTCCTGAGGCAGCCCTCAGCAGCTGTGGCCCCCACCCCCAACTGGCCTCAGACCCGGAGGTGGGGAGAAGCCGATGTGCCCGAGCCAGGAGGGGGCAGCATGAACCATCTGCCCACATCTTCCACAGGATCCAGGCCTTGGCCCCAGGCCACGCCTTCCTGGCCTCCTCACTGCCTTCCTCATGAACCCAGGCTCACTGGCCCTCAGCTTCATCCCTGAGACACCCGGGGCCCTTTACCCTTGATACCCCTGCCCTGGCTCTGCTTCTTACCCCTAGAACCCACATCCCATTGCCACAGTAGCTGGGATGGTTTCCAAGGGCGACGTGGTACTGACTACAGTCCTCTTCCTTTCCCAGCCTCTTGGCCAGACAGTGTGGGTGAAGGGTGAGGAGACTGGGAGGCCTGAGGTTTAGTGGGGCTGGCTAGTCATCTCAGGTCCTGGGGTCTCAGCCCAGCCATGGGACCTGGGACTGCCAGCCTCTCTGGAGAGAGCTTCCCTTGATTGGTACCTTCTGGGGACTGGGGACCTGGTCCAGTGGACCAGAGGCTCTTACCTTAAGGCTGAGGGGTGCCCTGGGTCAGGGCCGACCAGGCTCTTTTAAGGGGCCAAGGTAACCCTGAAAGTAATCCCAGCTGCTCTTGCTCATAGTATTGGATATAGGGTTTCTTTTTTCCATTTTCAAAATCCAGTTTTTGGGTCATCTCAGACACAGCCTGGCCAGAGAAAGGGGGTCCACAGAACAACTTATGAATGGGGCGTTTGGCCTCTCGTAGACCCGGGCCTCCTGCCGTGGGTCTGGGCTGTCCTCTTTACCCACTGCTGTCCGAGACTGCTGGCTCCAGGCTTAGTCCTGGCACGTCCCCCATCCTTGCTCCATTGTCTCCCTAGACTGTGCTTTCTCCCACCTCACTTTCTGCTCCCAAACCCCAGTTTCCTTATAGAACCCAGGTGTGCAGGGTGCCTGCTATCCACACAGAGGCTGTGGGAGGAGCAGCTGGGAGGACTGGACCTGGACAGATGTGCTCCCAAGGCTCACTTTGGCAGGGGATCCCTCTAGGCCCAGGCTCCTCCTGTCCCCTCTCTTCCCCTTAGGGGTAGCAGGGCTGGGGCTTGGGGGGGTGGGGTTGGAGGTCCCCCTTGCCCGCTCAATTCCACGCTAACGGGACACTCTCTCTTTCTCCAGGTGGCTTTGATTTTTGTGTCGTATTTTATTTTCTCCTCCATTTGAATCGTTTTTCTCGTTGACCGTTTTTTTTTCTCTCCGTCTCCCGGAAGAAAAAAAAAAAAGAAAAAAAGAAAAAGGAAAAAGCAGCACTCCCAGCCTCATGCTTCTCCTCCTTTTCCTTTTTTTTTTTCCGGCAAGAAGGAAAAAAAGAAACCAAAATGTCCTCTTCCCCTGCGGTGACTCCCTGCCCCACTCTTCCTCTGGTTCTGCCTGTACCCCTCCCCTTCTCTGGTGCCCTCTTCTCTTTCTCTCTCTCTTCCCCCCTCATGCCCTCCACCCTCTGTTTCGGCATCGGGCCCCTTCCTCAGCTTCTGGGCTGGGGGCTTTTCCCCGATGTCTGTCACAAGTTAAAAAGGGTTTTTAAATTGTGGCAGCAAAAGCTTTTTTCTCCCCTCTCTCTGGCTGATTTTGATGACTCGTGTTTTCTTTGTTTCTTTCCCCTTTTCTTTCTTTCTTTCTTCCTCTTCTTCTTCTTTTTTTTTTTTTGTTTTTCCTTTCTTTCTCTCTCTCCTTCCCCTTTCCAAGGTCCGGCTCACCTGACGTTAAACAGCGAAGGTATGGTTTGAAGTTCTGGTTTGCTTTGGATTGAACTGGTTGCCCCCAACCTGCACCTGGATTTTCTGTTCCTCTCCTTGTTCCTCTTCCCCCTCCTCCATCTGTCCCACCCCCTTCCCTTCCCACCCCCTTCCTCTGCCATGTCTCTATTTTTTAGGGGGTGCTGGGTGGGGGTGGGGGTTTGGTCGTGTCTGTGCTCTCCCCTCTCCCCACCTCACTCCATCCGCCCTCATCTCACCTTGGTTTCTGACATCAAGAGATGTTTGAACTCCTGCCGTTGTCTCCAGCCACCTTTTTGCGTTTTCCTGGTAGTGTATCTTGCTTTTTTAATTTCTCATGGTGGTATTTTGTTTTCTTCCACTCATTCTGATCATTCTTTCTTCTCTATGAATCCAGATAAAAAGAGAAAAGCACGGGCTGGAGAAAGGGGACTTTAGGCAGCCTCCCTCCCCTTGCCCAGCTGCTGTGGGGGCCCCCTGTATCCACAGTGGAGTAAGCGGGAGAAGTCGGGGAGTGCTGGCATGGGATCCCCCCTTTCCACAGCTGCCCCACTGCATGCCTTCACCCTTGTGTCTTTTGAACATCTCTTGACTCTGTTTAACAGATGAGGACATTCAGGCCCAGGGAGACGAAGTGACTTTCTAGTGATTACATGGACTCTAATTGGTGGTACCCTTGGGACTGCTCTATTTTTAGCCTCCACCAAGTCCCTACCACTTTTGAGAGCCCTGGCGTTCAGGAACTGGAGACAGAGCCCAGGAGTCCTGACTGTGGGCCCTGCCAGCTATGACCTCCCCCAGGGACCCCCGCCATCGATTCTCTTGAGCTCGTGTATTTGGCCTTCTAGACTCACAGGCACTTGCTCCCCTGCCCAGAGCCGTCCTCTCTTGGGGCTCATCTTCCGCTGGAAGGAGGTGGGGTCCTCAGCCTGTAGGCGGGAGAGGCCAACAGGATGGCTGAGCTGTGGGCAGAGACCAAGCTCTGGAATTTGGGGATGGGCTTAGGTCTGGGGAGGAGGGGCCCATGGTTCTTGCAAGGATGTGAAATTATGGCAAGAAATGTGGGGAGAGAGGAAGCCCCAAGTGGGGAGTCAGGACCTGGTTGGTTCACTTACATCCTTCTTGCCTGTCAGTGCCTGGTTCTGGGGGTCCTGGCTGCGACTCACCTTTGTCATAGTTGAGGACCAAAAGGATCCTCTGCCCTTGAAAGCTCCACAGTCCAGGTGTCACTCTAGCTTTAGTTCTGGGGATTTGAGATTGGGTGGGAGTGAGGGCCTGTGTAGGGACTTTTAAACTCCATTTTTGAGTTCCCCTCAACCTGAAGCCATCCCATGGGGTCTGGCAAAAGTTGTGGGTGCCTGGGAACTGGGTGCTAAGCACACAAAATCACTGGCATGGGTGGGTGGTTGAAGAACTTAAGCTGACCTGGAACCCAGGCATACACAGCCGTGGGGCCTTCAGAGAGGGGCATGTGGCAGCCAAGCTGGGTGGCACAGAGCAAGGAGTCATCCCTGAGAGAGGGCTTCACCCAGACATGAGACCCAGCCAGTCAGGACCTCCCTTGGTGTGCACAGTCCTCTGAAGGCACTGTGGAGGGACAGAGTACAAGCAGAAACTGTGGTCCCGCCCCTGCGATGCCCCATATTCTGACTGGCAAAGATGTGGACAAAGGTGACATCAAAAGCACTCCCTGTAGTAAATGAACCAGGTGCAGATGGAGAGCCAGGTTTGCTTCGAGGACAGGCAAAGATCAGAAGGGGGTGGTGTATGTGAATTGGGGAGTTTTGGAGGAAGGGTGCCTGTGTCAGGCTTTTGAATGAGTTGAAGAATATGGACTCTGACCCAGCAGGTAGGATGTGAGCAAGATACAGAGTAGGAAGAAGGATGAGACAGGAACAGGAAGTGGGAGCTCAGGCCCCGCCCTCCAACCTCCGGGCTATTGGGGGGGCTGTCCTCTGTGCACAGGTGGAGGGGATTCCTGAGCCAGCAGTGTGGTCTCCACCCCAGTCGGATCAGGCCTGGGCAAAGGGCAGAAGTTGGTGGTCAGGAGTCTGATGGGATTTCTGGGGCCAATGGAATCCTTGGTTTGTCAACAGGCTCTATCCCTATAGTCCCCAAAGCAAGTGAGTCCCCAGAGGAGCTCCTCTGGCCCCAAACCTGTCCCTTCAAGCAAGAGGACCTTTGCCCTGGAAAGGCCCCTCCATCACCTCAAGGCTGGGGTGGGACTGGCTGGGTAGCCCCCGTGCCTGACTCCCCAATTCTGCTTCTCCAGTAGGGTCCTTACTGTTCTCCGAGGGGGGGGCCGGGAGAGGAGCAGCCAGTGATGTGCACCAGCCGACGAAAGGTCAGTGACCACAGTCCCCAGGGAGCCCAGCCCTCACCCACTGCAAGCAAACTGCACTTCCCATGGGGGCGGTTAGTCAATAGAGGTGTACCCTCTCTGAGGCCCACAGGGACTGGTAGGCCTGCACCCCTGTACCTGCCCTGGCGTGAAGGGCCACAGCCTCCACTTCCTTCCCAAAGCTCAGTTGACCTGGTGACCTCTGTCTAGAATACAGATGTCTTTTTATGGCAGTTGTTTAGACTCATTGCTAGAAAGCATGTTTCTCTGGTGGAATGACCAGGCAGCTGGGGAAGCCCCACCCCCACTTAATCATCAGATTCTGGGTGGCAGGTGTGGCATTTATAATACGAATGGATCACATGCATCGCCTCACTGAACCTCCACGACCCTCCGTGGAGGGGCATGTTGCCCTGGGTTTACAGAGGAGGAAACTGACACCTGCCAAAGCCCCCCCCCCAAGACCAGCACAGGGCCCTTGAGCCTGTCTCAGGGCTGTGGGCTTTAAGCACTGAAGCTGCTTTCTTAAGAGATCCTCTTTCCTAAGAAGTGGTCAGGGTAGTTTTGCAACCCTTCAAGGAACACTGGTGGGTGCCAAGCACTGGGGCTATCGGGTCCCGTCTGCATTTGTTCAGAACACGCTGTTCTGTCAGCCTGGATTTCCGCCATCCCTGCTGTCTTCCCCAGCCATTTGGTATCTTTAAGCTGACTCTTGAAAAAGCAGCCAGACCATCCACATTGGAAGGAGCCCCTTGACTCCCCAGGCGACCCCAGACACTCTTTGGTGTTCTCCCTGTCTACACATCCATTAGTCCCTCGTCCCACTGTGTTGTAACTATCACTTTACCTGTTTGCCTTCCTCACTGGACTGAGCTCCCTGAGGACAGCCCTCGGGTCTCTTCATTTGTGTGCCCCCTGCCTTACACAGCTTCTGGCACAGGAGGAGGCACATGCTCAGCAAAGTGATTTTAAATGGGCAAATGGTCTTTGTTCTCAAGGGGCTCATTGACATTCTAACAAATAAGTACGATAACGCGTGGTACATGCAAAGTATATGAAAAGCGAAGACTGTCCAGAGGAGTTAATGTATTCATTGATCTAGAGAGGGAGTCAGTGCACACACACAGAAACTTACACAGCAGCACAAGAGTCGTTTATTCGTGGAACGGTTCACAGCTTAGGAAGTCACACCCATCTGTTCTCTCTCTAAAACCCAGAGCAACCTGCGAGGTAGGCTGATGATTAGGTCCTTTGTCCAGGGAGAAAGCTGGGGCTGGGAGATGTTGCCTCTTGGCCAAGGTCACAAAGCTGGTGGAAAAGCCAGTATTAGTGTCCAGGTCTCTCTCACATCACACTTCCTCTCAGGGGAGCAGTACAAGATGTTACTCGGCAGTGAGTGCCAAATGAGCAGAACAGACAGCTGTAGTGCTTGAGAGCAGGGAGGGGCGAGGGGGCTGGAGACCTTCCCAGAGGGCTCTGGCTGGGCTGGGAAAGGAGGCAGCTGCTCTGTCCCTTACAGCGCTCAGAAAGCCAGGACCCCACGACTGGTCTCTAGACACATTCGGGTTGACTGAGACACCTGTGGGGCCCCAAGCTCCCTGACCTGGGGGAAAACATGCATCCGTGACTCCCCCCCTTCCTGGACCAGGGGCTCTTAGGAGCTGTGATTGTTCAAGCGCTGCTGGGGTGGTAGTTTCGGGATGGTCTGGGCTGCGAAATGGGGGAGAGCGCCCCCTGGTGCTTCAGGTCTGCTCCTCCCACGTCTGGTTTGTGCTTGGACAGCCTCCACATCCTTATCCTGAAAAAGTCCCTCTAAAATCCCTTGAGGTCCCCTTCCCTACTTAGAGTCGCTCTGTGTTTCCCACCACCTTCGGGTTTTCTCTTCCATCTCCTGAAATTCTTTCAGGCTTCCTCTGGCTTCTTCAAGCCTCTTTCATCTCTGGGCCTTCCAGGGTCTCTGGCTGCATAAGGAACTGGAGAACATGTGGACTCAGGCTGCAGAGTGGCTTTGTCTCCTTGCCTAGGAGACCTGAGGCAGAGCCTGGAGGAATGGAGATCGACCTCATTTCTCCACTTTGCCGAGGCAGCAGCTGTGGTCCAGCCCCTGCCCTGCCTCTCTCCTTTTTACTGGCCTCTTTTGTTCTGTCCTGATCACTTTTTCACGTGGTTGCCTTATTCTTGCCTTTTTTCCCTGATTGACACTCCATTTAATGATATTTTCTCTGACCGAAGTGGAGGTGAAGGAGTGGGAGGGAAGGCCTGGCTTCTGGGAGAGACTAGTACCTGTGGCAAACCCAAGGCGAAACAGGGTCCCCTTTCTGGTCCTTGAGCCTGCCTCTCCTTCCCCTGCCAGTGTCCCAGCAGCAGGCCTGGTTGCTATGGAAGCAGTAAAATCCTGACAAAGCCTTGGCTTCCATTGCTTAGAGGTCGCAGTCCCCCTTTCCTTGCCGGACCTCTTCCCATCACCATTGCCGGTCCCCTCCCAGTTTGCTCCTTTATCCAGATTGCTTCACTCCCTCACCTCTTGCTCCCTCACCATTTCCTTTCTGTTCCCGATGGTCCATCTTTCTCCCTCCACACCTTCCCCTTCTTGTCTTGGCTTGACCTTTCCCCTGTCTTCTCTCTGGCCCTCCCCACTGGAGCCCTGAGGTAGGCAGAGCAGAGTTTCAACTGTCCCCACGTTGCCTGTGTCCTCACCAGCCTTGCTGCCCTGTGGCCTCAGGAAGCTGGGCCTTGCCAGCTGCAGTAAGTGTGGTGCCAGGCTTTGGGGCGGCAGCTGGTGCTTTGGCATCCGGAGGCAGCGAGGACCGAGTCTACGGGCAGCCCGCCCGGACGGGGAGAAACGTGTATGCAAGGGAGGGGCATGGGCAGAAAGTGCACCCAGAGAGCCCGCTCCCACACGCGGTGCCCGCTGCTGTGGCCTGGCCCGGCAGGTGCCTTATGAGGGCCACGGGTGCCCCCGCACCCCCACATTGTGCCTTGCTCCTGCCAGACCTGGGGGCCTATACTCCACCCCCTGCACTCCATAAAGGCCTTTGCCAGCACTCTTGTTCCTGTGAGGCAGGCAGGACAAGCCGTTTGCTGGGGAGGAGGAGCAGTCGCTCTCAGGGGCCAGGTTCTCTGCTCTCCCCACCCTGTCCCGTTTTCTCCTCTCTGAGTGAGCTCTGGCTTGTGAAGCCCCAGCTTCCCTCCACTGAGTCGGTGACCTCTCACCTGTCACCACTGACAGAATGCTAAATGTCCCTAAGGCTCTCCTAGTCATTTTTGCTTCTGCTTAAAAAGTGCCTATGGGCCCTGGCTGGCGAGGCTAAGTGGACTGAGTGCTGACCTTCAAAAGGAAAGGTCGCTGGTTCGATTCCCAGTCAGGGCACATGCCTGGGTTGCGGGCCAGGTCCCCAGTTGGAGGCGTACGAGAGACAACTGATCACATAACTCTTGCACATGGATTTTTCTCTCCCTTTCTTCCTCTTTTCTCTTCTCTCTAAAAGTAAATAAATGAAATCTAAAAAAAAGTGCCTGTGGAAGGAGCCCTGTGCACACACGTGCACACGTGCATGTATGAGAGCCAGGCCTGCCCTTGCCCTTTCACCCGTAGCCAGTCACCGGCACACTGGGTCTCACACCCATTCCCTGGGGCCCCTCGGTGGCTCTCTGCCTAAGGGCCCATCTCTGCTGTCCTCTGAGGTTGGAGTAGGAAGTGGGGGGAGGGTGATTGCTGGCATGATAGCCTCCTTGTAAGCCCCACCCAGTGGCCTGCTGCTACCTGGTGCACATCCCTGTCACTTGCATTGCCTTCCCATGTGTCCTACCCCTGCCTCTCCCCCACCCCGTCCCCCCTTCCATATTCTTCTCATCAGCAGGCCTACTAGTTGCCTCCCTGCTGGTGAGGCCCGAAACTGTCCCTGGGCTGAGAACGTCATCACTGAGAAGAGGCAGCAGAGGGAGGTGGGCTGCACTCAGGGCACCTTGGTGCCCCAGCCATAGAGAAGGCCCTCACAGGGAGAAGTCAGGTGGAGCCTGTGTGTCTTCCACATCCCTTTGTTAAGGGGAGTGGCTGATGGAAGGCTGGTGGGGGAGGAGACAATGAGAATGGCTGCTTTGCCTGGCCCTGTGGCAGCTTAATTGTCAGCTGTCAGTGTGAGAACTACTTAGCAGTCTCTTGCCTTGGAAATGCACATGGGGGAAGTTGACATCTGACAGCAGAGATGGCTGGGTCCAGAGAGGAGGGTGGAGAGGCTGGGGAGGGGAGAGGGCCTGAGGCTTGCAGTTGGGGCCATGGGGGACCCGTGCCCGGGCTGCTGGAGGGGAAGAGGGTGGTCTGGCATCCGCTCTCCCACTCAGCCTTCTCCCCTTTCCCCACACCACGGCGTCCAGGCAAGGAGGAGTTCGTGGCGACCTTTAAAGGCAATGAGTTCTTCTGCTACGACCTGTCACACAACCCGATCCAGAGCAGCACGGACGAGATCACCCTGGCCTTCCGCACCCTGCAGCGTAATGGGCTGATGCTGCACACGGGCAAGTCGGCCGACTACGTCAACCTGTCCCTCAAGTCTGGCGCCGTCTGGCTGGTCATCAACCTGGGCTCAGGAGCCTTCGAGGCCCTTGTGGAGCCTGTCAATGGCAAGTTCAACGACAATGCCTGGCACGACGTCCGGGTCACCCGAAACCTGCGCCAGGTAGGGGGAGCAAGAAGAAGGCCAGGCCCAGCTATGACTGGGGCAGAATGGGAGTGCGGGTGTGAGGCGTCAGGGCAGGGCGTTGAGAAGTGGCTCTGGAGAAGAGCGAGACTTGGGACTGTGACGATCCAGGAGTGTGGCAGTAGCCAGCAGGCTTCAAGGACAAGGGAGTGGAGCTAGGGAGGCAGGTGGCTGAAGAGCTGCCCAGGGTAGGGGTCTGAGGGATGGGGAAGGGCTGGGCTCCGGTTGGTGGCAGTCGCTGGGGTTTCAAGGGCTGGGGTAAAGGAAGCAGGTGATCTGGCAGAAGGGCGATTCAGGAGCTGGGAGGAGTGAAGTAAGGCCTGGATGGGTGGGCCCCGGGGGGCTTTGGGGTGAGGAGACACTGGCTGGGTGGAGCGGCTGTGGGGGGTGTCCCAACGTTAGGGCAGAAGGGCACAAGCAGAAGCCTGGGGTGCGTGTGGGATCAGGGTATGGCCTGCCCCCGCCCCTCGGTGGGGCCATTCTCCGACAGAGGCAAGGGTTGGGTCAGAACAAGGTGGAGGTGCAGCAGGTGGGTGAGGGGGAGCCGGACAGAGAGGGGCTGGGGCCCACCTCTCCTCTGGGCAGCACACTTCCTTCTCTTTTCCCTTTCAGTCCCTCCGAAGGAGCCCAGGCCATCTCAGCAGTCCATGGCTGTCTTTCCAAGGCTCCCAGGCCAGCCCATGCAGGAACTCAGAGGAGACTCTTGGCTCTGCTCCTGCAGGCAGGACAGGGCTCTTCTCCACACTGTCCCCTCGGCTCCTGCTCCCAGACTCGCCCTCCGGAGAGGTGCCGCTGTTTCTGGGCATCAGCTCTGTCCCTTAGTAGTCTCTTTGCCTCTCACAAGGCCCAGGGTCGCTATGACAGGGGAGGCCATCTCTTTGGCCAGGCTTCTGCCTGACAGCATAGCTGTTTCCAGCCCTGAGAAGTTCCTGTCTCAAGCCAGGTCCAAGCCAGATGCTTCTTTGAAAGCAGGAGAGGCCACTGTGCATCCTTGTCTCCACCTGCTGACTCCTGTCCCTGCTCATCAGGTGCCCAGGCTTTTGCCGGCCCTTCCCTCGGGTCCACTGCTTTCTCTTGTGGCTGATGGCAGAGAAGCTCTCCTGGCTGCACCTACGGCACTGCAGTGCAGCCAGAGCACATAGCATCTTGGCCCTGGGAGGCGCTGTCTCTGCTGGTTCACGGCCCTTCTCTTACTAGTTATCGTAAGAGATAACTTGTGCTTACCTGTGCTTCTGGTTACCTGTGCTTCTGGTTCTGGTCGTATGGTGGCCAGCCTCCCATTGTCTCTCCTCTTCATCATCATCTTATCCCTCCTTCTCTTCCCCCTGAAAGGCTGGTCAACAGGGGTCGGGATTCCGGCTGACCATGCACCCTCCTTACCTGTTCTCCTTCAATGCCGGTGATCTCATGGGGCTTCTCCAGTAGCTCCTTTCTCGGCTGTGAGGAGGGGTGCCTGCCGTTCCTTCCCCCTGCTGCTACCTCTACAGCTGGGCCTCTGCCCAGGCGCCCGTTCCTAGTGTCCCCGTGCTCTGTAAGTGGCGTGCATGGTGGAGGCACTCCTCCTCGGTGCAGTGCCTCTCTTCAAGTCCCATCATTCCCCGACCACCTGCGCAAACCTGAGAGTGTCTGTCCCTTTGTCATCCTTTTATGTGCCGCACACATTTTACTGTGAGAGTGTGTGTGTGGGGGGCGTTACCTTTGGTGCTTCTTGCTTGCTTTCCCTCCCCAGGACCAGCGCTGTCACCTGGTACTGCCCTTGGCAAGAGGATGCTGCAGGCTCAGAGTCCCTGTCTGTGCATCACTTGGCCAACAAATGCGCTGTGTGTCCATATGGGGTATGGAGGGAAAAGAGGTCCCTGCCCTACCAGCCCTGGAAGAGACGGGATGTCTGCTAAAAGTGAACCCAGCAAAGCCATGCAAATGCCAACTGAGGAGCAGGAACTTTAAATGTTCTAGGAACCAGAGAGGCACTGAGAGGAGGGAGAGGTCTGTGGCCGAGCGGGTGGGAAGGCTCAGTGGGGATGAGGCCTGGTCTCAGCAGCATGGAGTGTAAATGGTGAGCCAAGGAAGCCTCTTCCTGGGGCTCACAGAGTTGTGGGTCCCAGCTGGTGACTGAGGGAACTGACTTCTCCCAGCCTGTCCCACCAGATGGGGGAGAGCAGAGTCGGGTCAGAGTCAGGTCACACTGACCCGAATGTAGGCCTTTGGGCCCCAAGAGGGTATCTGCTTAAGACTTTGATGGAGAGCCCTCTTTAAAAAGGGGTTCTGGGGGTGTTTTTTCAGTCTAGCTCATGTCTGTGAGGTGAGGCACAGCCCTTCCTTGGTGACTGCACCATTGGGGGAGCCGAGCCTCAAGGCTGTGCTCCGGATTCACTGGATCCTCACCGGGACCTTCGACTGCCTATTTTTCAGGGCTTCTAAGAAGTTACTGGGCCCCGTTGTCCCTAAAGTAGTGGTTCTGCATCGAGGGTGGTGTGCCCCTCTTCCCAGCAGACATTTGGCAACATCTGGAGACATTTTGGGTTGTCACAGCTCAGGAGAGGCTGCTACTGGTAGAGGCCAGGGTGCTGCTAAATACCCCACGATGCACAGGGCAGCCCCACGGCAAAGAGCGATGTGGCCCCAGGTGTCAGAGTGCTGAGGGGTAGAAACCCTGCCCAAAAAGTCTGTACAGTGTCCAGATGGTGTCCTCGGCTTGGGAAAACCCTTTTGTGATCGGAGGGGTGATGTTGGGCTGGGGTGGGTGGTTTTAAAGCAGTATTCTGTGTCCCCGGGTTCTGTGGGCATGAGCAAGGATGGGAGTAAGTGTAAGAAGTGACATCTGTCTCCCTTACAGGGTAGATGGCAGGGTCTGAGAACACCGGGTTCCACATTGTTTTCCCCAAGTGATTAGAAAGGCCAAAGCGGGAAGGGCCTGCCCCAGAGTGAGCACCGAGGGGGTCTCCTTTCCCCTTGGCTCTGGGTCGAGAGGCCAGCTCCAAAGACTGGAAGGAGGCAGAATTCCCCCCCTTCTCTGAACCAGGGAATTGTCCCTGAAATCATCCAGAGGCTCTTAGAACACAGCCGCTGGGACCGGAGGAGGCCTCACTGAGCGAGCACCTTGCTCTTGCCTTCTGCTGCCTTCGAACTCTGCCTGAGGCCACTGTGACCGGAGGCGTCTCCTGGGGGAGCTCTGCAGGCAGGGTTACCTTTGCGGATTCCCCGGGGTCTATTTTAATCCTGGGTCCACTCTCCTCCCATCCCCAGTGTGCCTCCCACCACCCTGCGAGCCGAGTCCAAACCCGTGTCATTACCAGCCAGCACCAAATTTGGAAGACAGGCCGGCTACCAAAGTATCACATGTGCTTCCTCCTGCCTGGCTTCTCAGTGCGGAGATTTTCAGGAGCTCCCCTGGCCCCAAGGAGGCAGTCCCCGCAAAATGGGGTCCTCTGGGCATTTGGGGGCTCCCTCCTCCACTTTCTGTCTCAGGGCCAGTCTTCTCCAGCAACTCAGATGCCCTGTCAGAGGATCTAACTGTGCTTCTCTGCATACTCCATCGGCGCCAGCTGCCCTGGCTCTCCCTTCGTTCCCTTAGTTCTCCCGCCACCACCACCATTCTCCTCCTTTCTGCCTAGAGCTGGGGTTTGAGTCCGACAGGCTGGGTTTGAATCTCAGCTCTGCTACTAGTTTGAGAGACCTGAGGCAAGTTAGGTAACCTCTCTGCGCTTAGCTGGTCATGGGTGAAGTGCCTTTGCTGACTGAGGTGGTGCGGTGCAGCGCAGTGCAGCGCAGTGCAGCGCGGTGCAGCGAGGTGCTGCCCCTCTGAGCAGTGAGGGGCTCTGGGCCATTCTCATTACTGGGGGTTTGTTCAGTCCTTCAGGCCTGGCCCAGATGCCACCTTCCTCACACAGCCTTCCTGACCCTCCCACCCACAACCAGGCTTTGTTCTTTGCCGTGTTCCAGCGCTGTCCTCTCATTCCGTCTGAGTGGTCAATGCTTCTGTTCATCTCCTATCTCTCCTCCTAGGGGGTAAGTTCCTTAGGGGCTCAATGCCAGCAACTACTGAGTGTTTGTAGTTGTTCTAGTGTTTTTTCTGGTTCAGTTGGGCTCTTTCTTGAAGCCATTTGGTGGGTTTTGGACACGAGGACCCAGCAGATCTATCTCATACGAGCATTGAACTTGCCCTCCGGAAGACTCCTATTCGCTTTATAAAGCCAGGGCAAAGCCTCTCCCATCCCCTCCTCTGAGTTTCCATGGGACTGTGTCCCTCTTTTACAGCCCGCCTTGGGGGTGCTGCCCCTTCTCTCCTCTCCCAGCCCTTCACGTCAAGGGTCTCATTTCCTTTTTTGGTCTCACTAATGTTTCTACATCCTGTGAAGTGGGAGGTAGTCCCCTGTTACTGTTGAGGAAGTTGAGACTCGGCAAGTTAAAGGACTCACCCAAAGTTACCCAGTCAGGGAGTGGTACAATGGGAAGTCTGCCTAACTTCGCAGGCACTCCGATTCTCTGCCTCCCAGGGAGGGCCTGGTGGTCATCGTTGGTACCAAACGCAGTGGTGGCTGTAGTCTGTCTTGTGGTTCTGCCGTTCTTGGATGTTCCCAAATCTTGCAACCATTGGAATGTTCTGCTCGTCTCAGAAAATGGACCTCTCTCATCTCTGAGTAAAGCGGGCGCCTCTTTTCTTTGTCCTGAGCGTCTCTTGCCCAAGCTCCACAGAGATTGTCTTCATGCACATTTGTGTGACCTCCCTCGAGGCTGTCTCCAGGGGCTGGGGCTACACTCAGAGTTCAAGGTGGAGACAGCGTATAGTTTGGCCCAAGGGCGCTTCAGGGGCCATGGGGAGTCTACACTTGAAGCAATGAGTGACTTCTCCCCTCTGTGACTCAATGCCCCGCTCCCCCTCCAAGCACTGCCATTCTGGTGGCCCCGAGTTGTCCCTGTGAGTGGAGGACGCCCTTTCCTGCATGTCTGTTAGTCTGAAGGTCAGCTCTCCAGATCCCGTCATCTGTGAAGGCACGAGTCGCCACCTCACAAGCCACCGGGAATGGGTTTCAGTGGGAGCTCCACTCGAACATTTGGCCATAATTGCCCCCTCTGGCACGATCCCCACAGACTGGGTTCTGGACCCCTGATCCCTAGGTCTAGAGGGGTCCCCTGTCACCTACTCCAACCTGTATCTCTGGACACCTTAGTGGAAGGCCCAGGCTTTGAACTCCCATCTCCTCCCTCTTAATCTTATTTCTGAGTTTGCTCTTCTATTTGTTAAAATGGAAGTTGCGAAGGAAAGTTGAAAAGTGTTTTTTTTTCCTTAAATTTTAGTTTCCACAATGAGCTCTAATTTAAAAACAGTAGTAGTTGTGTTCCCTCTCCGATGCCCTTTTCCTACCTTGTTCAACTAGCACAGCAGTACCAGGCAGCTCTTACTTGTTTTGCTGCAATCGGTTCAGCTGTCCTGAAGCTCATTGTTCCTTGTCTTGACCAGTGGTCCTCTTCATTTCACGATGGCCCTGCTGATGGAAACTTGAGTCACCCGTTGTCCCCTTGTTCCAGCCACTGCCCCCGCAGTGAGACTCTTGCCCTCCTGCTATGTAAACTGCTTCTGCATCTAAGAATTAACATTGGTTATTCCACACTCCTTCTAGTTGCTAAATATTGAATTCTGTTATTTTTAATTATATGAGGCCCTTATTAATTGTGTTACTGAATTAGCCCCATGCCCACCGGTTATAACTCTCCAACTAATGGAGCTGCCCCTAGAATCCCTTTCCTTCTCACTGTCACTCTCGGGTGTGCAGTTCAGTGTTTGGCAGCAGTGCTCTTCCATGGCTGATAGTCTCAGTGAAGCTGCCTCTGTCCTTTTGACATCTCTTCCCCAAAGATCAGGGTAATTTTGAAGGTAGTTGTTGCTCCTGTCTTTGGCCGTGAGAAGAGAAAATGAACTTGGGGGTAGAAGAAGCTGGCTTATAGCTTAGGGAGGAGTAAAGGGTTTTAGAGGTAGGTCGGCCCCTGCTCCTTTTTATGGCGTGGTGTGGAGTGGCTGAGTTTCTGGTGCTGGCTGTGGGGCGTGGAGGCTCAGGGGTCTGTGGGTGTGCATGGGGGGAGGCTAGGCTGCTAGGAAAACCTTGCCAGTTCCAGAGACTGGCAGGGGTGCTGGTGGTGGATACTTAATTTGGGGAGGGAGAGCTGCCTGGAGGAGCATAAGAAAATGGGGGTGCTGTGGTTGAAGGACCTGGGGAACTTTCTGGGAAACGTGGGCTCTGAAAAGTCAGGTTAGGCAGGAAGGGGAGTCAACTTTGGGTGGGAGAAGGGGAGGACAGGGGGGAGAGTTGGGGATGATTACATATGATTTGAGAGTGAACCCTCTGCCAGCCTGCGGAGGGGAAGGTTTCTTTTTCCTCATTCCAGTGACAACTCACTCTCTTCCTTTCTCAAGGAAGGGAGATAGATAAAAAAAGGGGGGCAGCTGCCCCTCCCCCCTTGGTTCTGTTTGCCTATCCTCCATCCCCAGGAAGAGTAGACACCCATATCCCATCCTATGCTCCTTGGGAATCCCTATCCTTTGTCCCCAAATGAAATCTCCAGTCATTCTAGCCCCTACTGTGATTCTCTAGGGGTGTCGGGCCACTCTTTTCCCAGCCTGACAGCCAGCTGGCCATCACCAAACAGTTAACCCATTAACTCCACATGGCCATTGGTCAATCCGTTGGCCAGCACCAGCTCGCTCTTTAGCCAGTTCTCTGTAAAGCCATCTGGTTGACCAGTTAGCCAATAAACTCCCTTGTCCTACCCAAGTCAACAGTCCATCCCTGTCTCATACCCCGTGCTCTCCTCCCTTCCTCCCCTCAACTCCCTAACATTCCAGCCGATAGGGTTTACTAATACCGCATAACTGGGTCTGCTTCTTAACCCCCTGCCTTCCCTCTTTCACCCTCTGTTGGAAAACCCCGTTGCCGACTCTGTGTGTGTTACTAACACGCTTATAACCCAGGGGGCCAAGGGATGGGCAGGGACAGGTGGGGCAAGGTATGAGTGAAAGACTGAACTAACCTTTCTGTGTCATCTGCGGAATGTTGACCATCTTTAAGTCTTTGCTTTCTTGGTCCAGTTCTTTTGTTTTCTTCTCTACTAACCAAGGTCTTTAACTGTTCCCCTTCTCTGCAACAGGCTCTTCCTCCGGGCGGGGATGGGGGAAGAGGAATCCACAGGAGGGGTGGAGGAGGGATCGGGAGATGAAGGGGTTTAATTTGTGTGTGTGTGTTTTATTTCTCCTTCCCATCATGATTTAATTTTCTTTAAACAAAATACTTTAGCTAAACCTAAGGTGGGAGGGTCTGAACAAACAACCAAATATATATGGATATATATTTTTCCTCCTTCCTTGAGTTTCACAGTTGGTCATTTTATTTTTCTTTTCTTTCGTTCTGTTCTTTTGTTGTTGTCTTTGTCGTTGGTTTTTTTGACCCCACCCCCTCCCCCTATCTCCGGTGAAGCACGCAGGGATTGGACACGCTATGGTAAACAAACTGCATTATCTGGTAGATATCACTCTAATTGTCTTACCGTTTGGTTTGCCGTGGGTTTTTTTAACTGTTCGATTCTCCCTCTTTTGTTTCCTTCCCTTGTTTGGTTTTGGTTGTTTTGCTCTTCCTTTTTTGCGTCCTGGACAATCTTTAGATTTTTGCTTCTCCTTTAGTTTTCCTCTTTCCCTTTTCTTTCTTTTTTTGGTCCAAACTCAAATCCAAAAGACAAATGAAAATCGAGGAATTTGGCCTGTCCCTGCTTTAACCCCTGACTCCTGAATTCAGATTCCTGGCCAGAGGGACCTGGAGGCAGGCCCCAAGTTCATCGGCTCTGGTTAGACCAGCCCCGATGCCAGGCTGCTTATTTCTATTGCTTTTTTTTTTTTTGTTAAAACCCCCCCCCCCTCGTTTTTTCTCTTTGGTTTAGTTTCTTTCTTGGTCTCCTGAAAATCCATGGAAAACACCATCCCATGACATGCTCTGCTCTGCTCACTGTCAGCTCCTGGACAGGCCCCTTAAGTTGGGGGAGGGGGTTGGGAGTGAGACCTCCAGTGGCTGCCAGCTGGGTGGGTCCCCCAGAGGGGGCAGAAACCACGTTGGGAGATGTGCAGCTGCCTGGGACCCGCCCAGACAGCTCTTTCAAATCACCAGTTCATACCAGTTTGGGGGCTGTCCCCTGCTGGCTGCCAGAGAAGAGGTGACACTCCCTACCCTCACTTCTCAACCTTGAGGGCTCCTGGTTCCATCTTCCTGCACATTTTGCATGGCACGAATGGTCTTTCCCCCCACCAGGGACAGCGTCCAGTTCCCCCCACAGCTCTGCTGCTCTAACTAACACTGTGTTTCACACTGTCTTCCTTCCCCTCCATCTCTCCTGCCCTCTCTGTTCCCTGCCTCTCCAGCATGGCCTGTGACTGGGGTTGGTTTCCTTCCCTGGGGAGGGGGTCAGAGGAGGCCCAGCAGGGGTGGAGTTGGGGTGGTTGTCCCCAGGCTCCTCTGTTTGGATTGGGCTCGGTCCCTGTGAGTGTTGGTGTGGGTGTCTGTATAAATGCAGCTGGTGTGTGTCGGTGTGTGGGTGCAAGTGTGTGTAAATGTTGGTGTGACACTTGGGTGTTAGTGGGCGACTGCACTGTGTGTTTGTGAGACTCTGCTGATGATGCTACACATGTAACTGCTGGCCGGTGTGAGCCAGAGGCTCTGCGGCCATGTGTGTGTTTGAGCATGGTGAGGGCTCTGCGTGGAGGTGGTTGTGGGGACAGGAGCGGGAGGGGCTGAGGCCGGCCCTTTGCTCCGAGCCTCGCTTCGCCTCGGAGTGCGCCTGCAGGCCCTGCCGCGCGCCATCCCCTGGGATTCCCTCATGCCTGCCGGGCCCTGGCTCTGCGGCAGCAGGCGGTTAGTCATCGCCTATTAATAATGCAGAGTGATTGAGCACCAGACTGGGGACCCTGCAGATGGACGTGTCCGCTCCCGTGGGGCCCACGCTGCTTGGGGCAGCTGCCTGGCCTTCCCAGCCTGCCTGGTCCATGTGGTTGCCTGGCTGGTGGGGACGGAAGTGTGACGGGTAGGCTCCCAGTCTGAGTGGCTCTTTCATCTCTCCACGAGGCTCTGCCTCTGAGGCCATGCCTGGCCTGTCTTGATGCTTTGCGGGTCTGCACTTCCCTGCACCCACAGACTCATGATGACCCTGTCCTCTGCCTTGTCCCCGAGCCAGTGCCCATGGCTGTGGCCATCCTAGCTGTCCCCAGTCCAAGATCTTCTCTGGTCACTCCCAGTTGTCCCCAAGTTCAAATGGAGCCATTGGGGGGTCCCAGCCCCACTCCTCCACTATCCATTGTCCAGAGGGGGTGAGAGGATGCTTCTAGGATGTAGCTGCTGCCCACACCTGACTGGGCCATCAAGTGCCTGTCGGGACTTCTCTTTACAGAGCTTCACTGTAACTTGGGGACAGAAGGGGGAGGCAAGATAAGCCCCTGTGGTAAACCCCAAGCACCATCCTGGGGTTAGGGCCTGCAGGCCTTCCTGCCAGTCTCGCGCCTGTGACCTGGGGCTAAAGCTCAGTTACCCAACGGGCTGGTGATGCACCTGTACTACCTGTTTCATGGGGTCAATGTGAAGGTCAGGGAGGGTGATGGAAGAGGAAGCATTTGTACTCTGTAAAGGCAATTCTAATTTTATTAGGCTTTATAAAGTGCTAACTGATTATCTCAGTGTTTCCAGGGCAGGGATGTTCTGTAAAGATGCAGGTCCCTTCCCACAGCAAACCCTGGAGAATAGTGTCGCTGGCCCCACTGGAGACCCTATTACCATCTCTTCTTAGGAATTAGTCCTAAAATAACTTCATGAAACCCCAGAGTGCCTCAGGAATTGGGCCTGGGGAGGAGGAGGGGTGATGGGGTGACTTGGGTAAGCTGATTAAGAAGCAAAGAACCCTCTCTGGTTTCCTCCCTGGCAAGGGAAGTTGCTACTAAATTCTCCATCTTTGAAGTCTACACTTTCCAGTGTGAGCATCGTCATTGATGATCGGGGTGGACTCATAAACCCTCAGAAAAATGTTGCAGGGACCAGCTCCTGCAGGCCAGGACTGAAGTCAGAGAACAGGGCACCAAAATACACAGGATTCAGCCTTCTCTGATTCCCAGGCCTTCTGTAGCCGGGTTCCAACAGGGTTAGTACTTATTTTTTTACTAACTCTTTTCTTCCTCAGGGAGAGGGTGGATACAGATCAAAAAGGCCAAGGTTTGGATCAGGTGTGGTCAGGCCAATAGATGTTTTCTTATAAAACTAGTAATAGTTCTTTGTGCACACACTGGGGCTTTAGTTCCATTAAATAGCTCTCACGTTTTGAACATCATTTAAACTTGATGAATGTCTAGATTGCGGGCAGCAGGCGAGATTATTTCCAGTTAACAGATGAAGGGACTGGGGCCCAGAGAAAGCCTGGGGTCACGCAGCCAGGTATGGAAGATTTCCATGAGTTCATTTCAGCTGTCTCACGTGACCCTCCTAGTTAGCCTGGGAGAAGGGAGAGTGACGGGAGTTGTTAAACCCCTTGTACAGATGAGAGTCAGAGAGGTGAATTGGGATTGTCCTGGAAAACGGGAAAGGCTAAAGGACTCAGGGTTTCTGACCCGAAGCTTCTGTTCCCAAACTTGACCAGACCCGGACACCAGGGCTGACCGTCGGGCTGTGTCTGCTGGCTCGATCATCTTCCTGGTGTGTCTTTCCAGCCGGCTTCTCTCCTTAGTTTCTCCCCCATCCGCACACCTGGCTAAATGTCAGCACGGAGCAGGGCTGCACGCCTCCCTCAGATGCCCCGCCACCTTCATTGTCTGCTCCCATCCCACTCAGTTCTAAGTTAACCAAGTTTGGCTTGTGGAACCCAGGGAGAATCTGATGACACAGAAACGGCCCCTTGCAGGGAAACAAACTGCCCGTTGATGCAGTTTTGCCTACAATGTCAAGGGGCTTCATGAATCCCCAAAGCCCATCCAGCCCACCCACAAGTTCGAAGCACTTGCCCTGACCCCATCTTATTCTCCCTCAAATGAGGCCCTTCCAAGGAGGCCCATGACCGTGATCACAGCAGGGAGCTAAGCAGGGCTCTGGGTGATGCCAGAGGGGATCTGCTCTTCCTCCCTTTCTTCCTGGGGAATGTCTGTGGCCAGGGCCTGGTTTCACACCCTGCCACGCTGCCTAAGTAGGGAGCCAAGCAGAGCAGAAGAGAGGCGAGGTCAGCGGGGAGGGTTGAGAGCCCGCCCAGGCAGTCGGCCGCCCCTTCTAGCACCTCCAGCCACCCTCTCTGCTCCTGGGGCATGGAGCTGGGGCTGTGCCGCTGGGCGCTGGGCTCCTGCATTTGCTGTGCTCCCTGCCTGGGCACAGCTCTTCCCAGCCAGAGCTGTGACTTTTTCCTCCCGGCCTACTTGGTCCCCACTCAGGCCCGGCCTGTCCGTGTAGAGTGGACTGGCCGAGTGAACTGCTATGGGCAGGGTATAGAGTCTCTGCCTGTCTTGGGGCCTGAGCTATATGGTTCTGGTGATGAAAAGGGTGCTGTTGGAAATGAGCCCATCGAGACCTGCCCCCCCCCCCCCCGCCACCTTCAGTGGGATGTGCTGGTGTATGAGCAGGTGTGTCTGGGGTCCGTGATCAGTGGTGAATGGGCCGTGGGAATGAGCGTATGGGTTACCCTCTGGTGGGGACGGTCTGAGTCTAATCTCCTTCCCCTTTTTTCTCAGGCCATAGATATCTGTCCTAGTGAGGGCCCTTCTCCCCTCCTCTGCTGGAAGGAAGCTTCTCCTTCCTGCACCCCCACAGCTCTTTTGCCTCCATCTCTGCTCTTCCTGCCCCGCTGGCCTGCGTGCCTTCTCACCAGTGGCTGTGTTCTCTCACCTCCCCTGCTGGGCCGGCCCCCACCCTGGCCCTCTAACCCGCATGTGCCCCTGATGCAGTGGCTGTTCTGTGTTGCATGCCCCCCCCCCCGCCCTCCTCCCCCGCCGGCCCTACCCCTTCCAGAAGCTGCGCGGGGGGGTTGGGGGGCAGGGGCATCATGAACCCCCAGGGTGGAGGGGGACAGGGGAATTATTTCCCTGTTTCCTGCTTTTACTAACGAATCCGCCATTTTTGTGTCTGGACTTTGATTTGTCTGAGGGAACAGTTGGGTTTACTAATCTGTCATCTCCCTCTTGCCTTCCCCAGAGACCTCCCTCCATTGCCCTGCCCTTGGCTTCCTTTCCACCCAGTGCCCGTTCCCCACTTCTCTACTCCCCCCCCCCCCCAGGCTGACCTCCCTTTCTCTGTGCATCTCCTGATGCTCCCCACCGCCTCCTACCCTCTCCTCAACCTCTTGGGCCAGGGCTGCTCTAAAAAAGGAGTTGTGAATATGGAGGACAGATAGGGTGATTAAGGCGACCCTGTTCTACTAGGGGGCACTGAGTGGCAGTGATTTGCATAAAGCTGTGAGGCCCGGTCAGATTTGCCCCTAATCTGGAGGGCAGTTGAGGAGGGCACCCCTCCTCCTCTAGTCAGGTCCTTCCAATCTGAGAGGGCAAAGGCAGGTGAACTGGCCAAATGGACTGGGCCGAGGAGAAGCCTTCGGGTGCCTGGGCTGCTGGGGCTGGGGAGGGAGGACAGTTGAGAGGCTCCCGGGTGGGGGGACTGGAAGGCCGAGTGTAGAGGCGGAGGCAGGGGTGTGAGGTTAGAGCACTTAGAGGCCTGAGGCTCTGCCCACCAGTCTCCCGAGGTGTAGGGTTTATGCATGGGGCACAGACAGTGACATCCAAGTGTGGCCCCAAATCATGAGGTGACTTGATGTCGCCTTAAATGACTATGATGTGTCCCTGGACTGTCCTGGAATTAGTGGGGTTACAGGGACATGTCAGGCCAGGGCCCTGTCCTTCAGGAGTTGATCATCTATTTGGGGTGACCAGCTGCAGCCTCAGGAACTAATTAGTGGTCCAGTTCAAGAGTGGAGGCAGAAGGCAGGATGGAATGGAATTTGTCGCAGGGAGACCCCATCGCCCTGCCACCCCCCGTCTTGTCCCCGCCCCTTCAGCCCAGTACCTTCCTCCCTTTCCCCAGCCCCCTTCTGCCCAGTCTGATCTCGTCTGCATGCTTTTGTGACTAATACTGTGACCCTCCCCTCGTCCACCCAGATCCCCACTTCCCGGCTAGGATGCAGGGAAGAAGAAAGAATAATGACTAGCCCTCTCCTCAAACCCAGACTCAAAAGCTTTCACACCGCCCCCTTCCACAAAGATACCCCCTTACCACCTGCCCTCGAACCTAGTTCCCCCAGCACAAGGTTTGATGGTCCCCTGGAGGGGTCCCTTCGGCCCTGGCTTTGATCAGCCCCCTCCCCGCTCACTGGGAGGTCCCAGCTCAGCACGAGGGGGACTCAAGGGTCCTGTGGGGGTGGTTCCCCCTGCTCCCATTCTGTTCATGTCCCTTGGGGCTCCCAGTAGCCTCTCTTGCCCCCATGACAGCGGAACTCTGGAGACTGGTTGCCGGGTGATGGCTGGTGGCCTGTGCAGGTGAACTTCTATGGGTGGGGATGCCACAGCTGGTGAATGGAAGGCTGCAGTCTCCAGACTTTTTCTGAAAAGGGGGTGCCGAAGCACTTTAAGGGAGTGAGAAGTGGGGTGAACCATGGCCTGCGGAAGCACATATTTACTCCCTGATGGCCCCTGCAGGAACCTGCCCGCTCTTCCCAGCGGACCCATCCTAAACGACAGCCTTCCTAGAGTGGGGGTTCATGGTCCCACAGATTTTGACTCTTTCCCCACAACCTGGCTGGGTGTCTGGAGCCCTTGTGGGTCACTCCTGTGGACTTTTCAGGGGCCAGGTGGGCCTTTGCCTGGGTAGTGGGTAGTCTGAGAGTTCCCTGCACTTGCCACTCCCTGCCAGGGTCACTGCCTCCCCCAGGCCACTACTGAGCCCTCCTCACCTCCTGGGAACACCACGTGCCCCCCAGTTCTTACTCATCTTGTTTTTTAACCTGACCTTTCAGTGCAGGGTCAGCCTTGTCCCCCTCTGTTTCCTAACTTGGCCCTGACTCCCCAGGGTACAATGATGGCATCAGCAGGGAAGGCAAGGAGAGGAGGGCAGGCTGGTGACTAGGTAAAGTACTGCCCTCTCCTTGGGAGACAAGAGTGACCTGAGTGCAGAGGGACCTGGGGGTAAGGAGACTGACTCAGGAAAGTGGCGCAGTGGTAGGAATCAGCCCTGAAGGCCGTTCTGCGTCTCCCAGTAAGTCCCAAGATTCCTCAGGAATATCTGAGTTCTTGCTCCTTGTGCCCTTGCTCTCTGCCACCTCCCTGCTGGGCTAAGGACTGAAAGGACTCCTCAGCACCCTGAACGGGGAGCTGCAGGTGAGTCGAAGCCACTAAAGTCCAAGGAGAATTGGTGTCTCTGTCTTGTTTATGAAAGAGGCTCTGAAACCACGTGCGGGCCCAGAGAGTATCTTCAAGAGGAGGGAGTGAGGGTGCCACTTGCATCCCCCACACTGGAGCCTGACCTGGGGTTCCCACTTCCATTCGGAGCCACTTCCAGGAACTGGTTCTTGGCGAGCACTGTTTTCAGTGCCCTCAGGCCTCTCTGCCTGCTGAGCTGGGGGCCGTGGGGCGGGCCTTCGCCCACCCTGACACCATCAAATCTTGTGCTGCCTCCTTTTCCCCTACCCTCTCTCCCCCCACACTGTTCCTCCTCTGAGACAAGCAGACATAAAAATGGGGGTCCCCCTCCCCCTCTGCCCCCCAGCCCCTCCCTTTCCCAGCCCTGGACTCTTCCCAGGGAGTTGATGCCGGTTGTCTCCTTGTCTCTCTCCCCCACTCCCTGGGCTGGGCAGGTGACCATCTCGGTGGACGGGATCCTGACCACCACAGGCTACACGCAGGAGGATTACACCATGCTGGGCTCGGACGACTTCTTCTACATCGGGGGCAGCCCCAACACAGCCGACCTGCCGGGCTCGCCCGTCAGCAACAACTTCATGGGCTGCCTCAAGGACGTGAGTAGGGCTAGGAAGGGGCTGCGGTCAGCCTGGGAACCCTTTATCTCAGTCTTCAGTGTGGTTTAGTTGGACCTGGCCAGCTTCCTGGGCCTCTGTGCCTTCCAAGTCCATGGTGGGAGACCTTCCTTCTTCAAAATCCAAGGCCACTGACTCCATCAGGAGGCTTTTCTCTCTTGTCCTTGACCTTAGAAGTCCCCATCCTCTCAGAGGGGTGCATGTGCAGATCAGACCCCTGTGTTTGAGTTCCAGCTCCTCCACTCACTAGCTCTGTGACCTTGGCCGAGTCCCCAGTCCCGTCTAACTCTTCGTTTCCTCATCTGTTAAGTGAGCGGTCACTACCCGCTTCTCCCGGTGGGTGTGAGGAGCAGATGAGAGTGTAAACGAAAAGACTTTGTCAGCTGGGCAGTGTCTGCCAGATGGTGGTGTGATCGGCTCACCAGTGTTAGGAACGGGCCCCGTTCTGGTGCTGGGTGGCAAGACCGGACAGAGAAAATAAATGGGGCATGGGAGTTGCTTGTTCATGGCCTCTGTGTGTAAAGTTCTAGAACAAAAGCCAAGCCAGTGGTCTGGTGGTGCTGAGCAGGGAGCCCCCCAGGGCTGGGTGGCAGGTCCCATGGTGCTGGCAGCTGCTGGGCAGGAGTGGCCAGGCTGCTAAGCCCCTTCTGCCTCTTCATTCCGGACCCTGTCCCTCCCTGCAGGTGGTCTATAAGAATAATGACTTCAAGCTGGAGCTATCCCGCCTGGCAAAGGAAGGGGACCCCAAGATGAAGCTGCAGGGGGACCTGTCATTCCGCTGCGAAGATGTGGCTGCCCTGGACCCCGTGACCTTTGAGAACCCTGAGGCTTTTGTGGCCCTGCCCCGCTGGAGCGCCAAGCGCACCGGCTCCATCTCCCTGGACTTCCGCACCACGGAGCCCAATGGGCTGCTGCTCTTCAGCCAGGGCCGGAGGGCCGGGGCCGGGGCCGGGACGGGCAGCCACAGCTCTGCCCAGCGGGCCGACTACTTTGCCATGGAGCTGTTGGATGGCTACCTCTACCTTCTGCTGGACATGGGCTCCGGGGGCATCAAGCTGCGGGCGTCCAGCCGCAAGGTCAATGACGGCGAGTGGTGCCACGTGGACTTCCAGAGGGACGGACGCAAAGGTCAGGAGGCCTCTGGTCCCTTCCCTCACCCTGGCCACTTCTGTTCCATGCCCTGTTGTCCTCCACAGGTCTCTTCTGGCCTACAGTTTCCTGGACTCCCCCACACTATTCTCCCCTGTCCCTCTGGCCCTCCCAGCCCCTCCAGGGCCACTCCCGTCATGGTGCCCGGGGTGCAACCAGCATAATGTTTGGAGACCTGGGCTCGCACCTCAGTGCTTCTCACTTACTGTGTAGCTTTAGGCCCATCACTGAACCCCACTGAAGCTCAGCTTCCTCACCTATAACGGGAATCATGGCGTCGGGGTCACCAAGAGGCGAAAACAACAGAACATTGTACAAGCATTAGCACAGTGTCCCCACAGAGTTGATATGTCATTCCCCTAAAACTCTTCCCAACTATGTCTCCCTTCTGTCTAGATAATCCAACTTTGTTGGATTAATTCACTTTAGAAATACCAGTACCGGCTGTGCTAGGTGCTGTCCCTGGTGCTGGAGTGGGGAGAGGAGTGAGCTAGACAGTCCCGGCTGTCTGTCCCAGAGCTCCCCTCTGGTGAGGGCGGGGGAGCCGGCAGTGCCTGCCCTGGCGAGGACTCCAGCACAGTGAAGCAGCAGAGCTGAGAGTGCTGAGGTCAGGCGGGTGCTACTCCGGGAACCTCTTTAGCCACCCTCCCCTCTCCTCGAACCTTCTGTCCCCCTTTCCCATCCCCCTCTTGTTTTCTGCTTAATTCATCTTGTTGAACATGAGAGAAGTATCCGAGAAAGAGAGAACTGATATAACGAGAATGGACATATCATCCAATGTAAGCACTTCCTAATGTCAGCTAAATTTGTGTGCTCCCTCAGCTGTCACTGCACCAGGCCTTCGAGTCCCAGTGGAGTGACCATCCACCCACACACGGGAGGAGGGGGCAGCCATGGCCCCCGGAAGTGTCCGCTTCTCACGGGCTAGCTGGTTCTTCCTCTCCCTTCCTCAGAGAAAGGCTGCCTTCCCAGGGCTCGGTGGTGCATGGGTTCCTCCCTGGTTTGGTCTCCTGATGCCACCTGGGGGCTTCACATGCTGCCTCCTGGCATTTCCACTCCAGTGATCAGTAACGTTTTAGGCTGGAAAGCTGCCTGTGCCTTGCACAGAACCCCTGGGCCTTCTGCTCCGCTTTGCCTTCAGGAACTGGTCTTCTTAGCTTCACACCGAACTCCAGAGCCCGCTCATTAGGTCTGGCTGGTCCTTGGGTCCCTGTCTTGACCAACTCTGGCCTTGTCCAATGGCCCACATCCATCCATGCGCACAAACACAGCCTGGGCAGTCATTCTGACAAAGCTCTCTGACTTTTTCCAGTTAAAAAAATTGTGGTAAATTATACATAACATAAAATTTACCATTTTAGCCATTTTAAGTACACAGGTTAGTGGCGTCAAGTTCATTCACATTATTACAACCACCACCACCCATCTCCAGAATGTTTTAATGTCCCCAAACTGAACTTTTGTCCTCATTAAACATGAACGCCCATCCCCCCTCCTGCAGCCCCTGGCAACCACTGTCCTGCTTCCTGCCTCTGTGAATGCTAGTCTAGGGACCCCCTTCCGGTAAGTGGGATTATACAGCACTCGTCCTGGCTTGTCTCTCAACAGAATATTTCCAAGGGTCGCCCATGCCGTAGCCAATATTTCTCTCCTTTTTATGGCTGAATGATATTCCACTGCGTGTCACAGATCACATTTTGTTTACCCAGTCATCCATCACTGACCATTCGGGTTTTTCCCTTTCCATGTTTTAGAGTGGCCTTGGAGTAAGGCCTATACACAATTTCATTTTCTCTTGCTCAGTAAAACCTTTGAAGCTCCTACCTGATCCCAAATCTTTTTCCAAGGTAACCAGCTCCTCCTTCCAAAAACGATTACAGTTCCCGAGCCCCCCTTTTCCTGGCTGCCATCCTGCCTCACCGGCCCCAGGAGCTGACCTGCCTGCCCATCTTGTCCACCAGCCACAGAGGGGCTCCAGGCCGGAGGGGCGGAGAAAGTGGGCTCCGGGCAGAGGGTCCGGGCTGGGTGGCATGCTTTGGCGCTGCTTCTCACCTGCTGTGGTCCTTTGGGCAGGTCCCCCATTTTCTCTAAGGCTTGTCTGCCATTTCAAAGTGGGATTGTGAAGGACCAATTTCATAGGGTTACTGTGAGACTTAAGTGATGTAAGTAAAGTGCTAAACGTCTGGCATATACTCCTAAATGCTCAGTAAGTGTTGGTGGGGAACACCCTTAGTTTCAACCCGTTTAGCCTCCCTAGGGTTCTGTGCCTCTAGTTGCTGATTTAAGGGACTGGAGGGGAGAATGAGCTGTGAATGATCCAGCCCTTTTGGGGTGTGTCCACCTTCCTGGGCATCCTCCAAGGACTTGCTCAGGTGGGGAAGGAGGAGTCTGGACCTTACATGGCAGATGGGCTGGGGCTGGCTCAGGTGAACTCCCGAACTTGGGAGTACCTTCGCCAGACAGTATCTGAGCAGATGAGTGAGGCTGAGCTTCCCACCCAGGGCTGCTGCAGGGTGTGGGGTGGCGAGGCCCAGCTGCAAGGTCAGCTGTCCTTTCCGGCCTGTGGCCTCTTCACTGGGCCTTCCCCACTGAGGCTCAGTTTGTTTTGATCCCCAGGCTCCATCTCCGTGAACAGCCGCAGCACACCGTTCTTGGCCACTGGGGAGAGCGAGATTCTGGACCTGGAGAGCGAGCTGTACCTGGGCGGTCTCCCTGAGGGGGGCCGAGTGGAAATGCCCCTGCCCCCGGAGGTGTGGACGGCGGCGCTTCGGGCTGGCTATGTGGGCTGTGTGCGGGACCTCTTCATAGACGGGCGTAGCCGAGACCTGCGGGGCCTGGCCGAGGCACAGGGGGCTATGGGTGTTGCCCCCTTCTGCTCCCGGGAGACTCTGAAGCAGTGTGCATCTGCCCCCTGTCGCAACGGGGGCATCTGCCGAGAGGGCTGGAACCGCTTCGTCTGTGACTGCGTCGGGACCGGCTTTCTGGGGCGGGTCTGTGAGAGAGGTGAGGCTAGTCTTCATCCCAGGTGTCCTGCTGCCTGTCTCCACGGCCCCTCCTCTGCAGGGTGCCCCTCATAGACCGGCCCTGGGCCTGTCCTCCTTGTAATGATTCTCTCCATCTTCTCTCTCCCTCCACTGGCCTTTGCCTGTCCCCCACCCCGCTCTCCCCCCACCCCTGGGGCAGAGGCCACGGTCCTGAGCTATGACGGCTCCATGTACATGAAGATCATGCTGCCGAACGCCATGCACACAGAGGCGGAGGACGTGTCCCTGCGCTTCATGTCCCAGCGGGCGTATGGGCTCATGATGGCCACCACATCCAGGGAGTCAGCCGACACCCTGCGCCTCGAGCTGGACGGGGGCCAGATGAAGCTCACTGTCAACCTCGGTAACCACCCCACCCTGTGCTCCTGACCCCTTCCCTGACCTCTCCTCTGACTCACACCCCCTCTGTCTGGAGAAGCTGGTGGGGGCCCAGTGAGAGTTTGGAGGTGGGGAGGGTCAGGGCCCCTGAGAGCTCCTACCCCGGTGAGGATGCCTGGTGCAGGGTGAAGCTCTGCGCTCAGCAGCATCGTGTGGGGCTGCCCCACGTGTGGTCACACCATCTGCCCGAGAGTGTGTGAGGTACAGCAGCCGCCCTCCCACGGTTCTCACGTGGGTCTCGGCGGCCTCCGTCCCACGCACGTGCACACATGCACCGAGAGCTCATTCTTGGTTGTCGCCTCATCCATTCGCTCATGCGTGGTTCATTCACTGGGGGAGCGCCTGGTGCTGAGCCCGGGCTCGGTGCAGCAGCAGGCCTGGAGCTGAGGAGGGTCCGCCCCCCACAGCCGCCCTCCTAGGCCCTGCACTTAGAGCTGTGTTCGTCTGTGTCTCCGTGTGTAGGTGCACGCGCAGCACAGGATCCCTCAAGACGTGTCCTCTTCCTCTTGTCTGCTTTCACATTGGAGTCCCATAGCTGCCCTGTGGGACCAGAGAGGTGTTACTGTCCCTGTTTTAGAGACTGTGAAGTTCATACGCTGCCTTATCCAATGTGACAAAGCTAGTGGGGGTGATGGGAGTAGAGGGGCGGGGAGTGCTTTCCTGCCTGCCTCTAACCGAGCTGGGGGTGGGAGGGAGGGCGGGCGTGGGGGCCCTTGCTTTCAGAGGCTGGTGCCTCTGCCCCTGCCCAGAGCAGGCCGCACTCCACTTCACCCCACAGCCCTCCGGGTGCCATGTGGGCAGGACCGCAAGGCCTGCTGGGTGAACAGAAAACAGCAGGCTTGCCCATCTAGCTCATATTTATGGGACACCTTATAGGTGCCAGGTGTATTCCAAACCAGGGGCTGTAGTATCGGGTGAGATGAGGCACCTCCATCATGGAACTTTCGGTCAGGGAAGTTAAAAGGTCCTAAGCTGTCCAGGTGGGGGTCACATCTGTCCATTCCAGACTAGCCCCTCTAAGCGAACAGATGAGCAGCACCCAAGGGCCTGCAGGGTAGGAAGACTCAGGTCACTGGGGTCACTCGTGTCCCGGGCATTGAGGAGAAGGAGGGCTCTTCTGGGCAGGTTAGGACCCTCAGCTGGAGATAGCCCAGCTTCGGGCTTCTTGATATTTACCTAGAGTCTCAGCTAATGCTGGTCTCCAGGGCATTCGTGGGATAGACTGTGGCCCTTTGAGGGCCCAAGAACTTAATACATTTATGCTATGTTGTTTTTCTTTCCCCTTTTGGCCACCTGGCCTTTGTACTCCTAGGACAAGGATTTACAGAGCGAGGTGGGAGCTGGGGGCAGGGAGGCGTGAAGATAGCCAGGGTCTTGGAGTGGTTTTACAGTTCCCCAAAGCTCTACTTCTAACCCCAATCACAGCCCAAGTGGGTAGCAGGGGGCAGCGCTGCAGGGGAAGGCGGGGTGGGAAACACATCTACGGGTCTGTTCAACACCCCCAGGCACCCCTGAAATGGTCACAGGAGCGAGGAGGCATCCGTCCAGGATGCCCTGAGTGGTCCTGTGCTGCTCGGACCGCCTAGGTCTGTGTGCCCGGGGATGTACGTGTTGGGAACACAGCAGGGGGACTCGGGGGCCTTCTGCTTGCCATGAAGACAGATGCTTGTCCCTCCCTTGGACTGCCTTAGGTCCCCCACGAAGAAGCCTGGGTTTCTCTAGATTAGGCAGGGGGCGGTGTCCTTGGCCGGAAAAACGCGCTCGGGGGGCCCTCAGGACCTTTCACCCTTAGGGTCTACTTTCTCCTTCCCATGGCCATTTTTTTAAACACTACTATTTTATTTTACTTATGCATTTTTAAAAGATTCTGTTTATTTATTTTAGACAGAAGGGAAGGGAGGGAAACAGCAATGTGTGGTTGCCTCTTGTGCGCCCCCTACTGGGGACCTGACCTAGCCCTCAACCCGGGCGCGTGCCCTGACTGGGAACTGAACTGGCAACCCTTTGATTTACAGGCTGGCACTCAATCCACTGAGCCACACCAGCCAGGGCTTCCCATGGCCACGGTTTTCTGTCTGTGCCAGATAAGTAGTTAGAAGTTAGAGAACAAGGTGGTTCTCAGGCTGATGGTCAGCAAGACAGTTCTTCCCACCTGCCTCTCCCCGTTGTGTGTGCCCAGTCCCATCCACAGAGATGCCATCTCTAACATGGCTCACGACAAGCTGTGACCAAATGCTTGGTGCAGACGCATGTGCCCACAAATACCAAGTAAAGTGTATACAGGATCGTGTGGTCACTGTGTGGTCACACAGACACAATAGGCTGTCCACACCCAGCCACTCAGCCTTGGGCCGCCATGGGAAGGGCAGTGGGCCCGGGGCCAGGAGATCTGGGTTCTAGTCCTGGTCTCCTTGACTACTGAATAAGTCATTCCTTCTCTCTGAGCCTCTGTTTTCTTCTCTGTAAAATGGGGACAAGAATCTTTGCCTACTCTCTGTGATAGTTTTGAGGCTCAAATGGAATAATGGAAGTGATCACATTATACAGATGCAAGACACATGCTAGAGACTCACCAGCCTTCTTGAAGGAAAATCGTACTTGGATAGGGACGCTAGCTTAGAGCCAGGCTGGAGGCTTGCTTCCTCTCGCATTGGATGACCCCACTGCAGGATCTGCGGTGCGATCCCCATGCTATGTAGGGCCTGCTGGGCTTCACAGACAGGCAGCACCACTGAGGCCCCAGCCCTGAGCTGGACTCACTCCTGAGGAATGGAGAGAAGACGGCTGGGGCCTGGCCTCTGGCCTCGTGGTCTCATCCTACGGGAAGGGAAGCCAGCCTTATGCAGGTGGCTGTGCTGCTCCCCAGGTGCTCAGTGGGATGATGCAGACACGGTGCTGGGTCCTGAAGAGGGAGCTGTCTGCCAGTGACCACTGTGGGGGATAGCCGGGAGGAGGCACCGAGTGCCTGTCTCAGCAGATGGGGTGTGTGCCAGGCCAGAGGGGCCCTGAGGCTGTGCTGCTTCCTTCGGGCAGAGGATGCCACGGAAACCTGCCGCAGAAGGCAGGCTGTGCCTCCTGCCCTGTCCCCCGGGCTCCAGCATTTCTGCAGACGCCGAGCAAGTTCCCAGGGCTCTGCTGTCTGCAGCCCCTGAGCAGAGCGGTTGCCATAGAGTCCTCTGGATTCCTCATCTTGTTCCAGCGTGACCTCCGTCCCTGGGTTCCTTCTGCCTTGGGTGCGGTCCCTGGGGCCAGTACTCAGCCGGGCCACCTGTTCCTCCTCACGCTCCTTGGAGTTGCCCTCCGACAGGTGTGCCCATGTGCTCCCATTTGTCAGTAACACGAAGGGCTCGTTGTAATGAAAGGATCTTAGAGCTGGAGGGGCCCTCGGAAGCCACCTCCTTCAGCACTTCTGGAAGCTCCCCACCTGTTCTCAGACACTGTCCGTGTCAGGAATTCCTTGTCTCTGAGGTGGCCATTCTAATCATCGGGTCATTCTGCCTAGGTGGCACCCCCCCTCTGAAATGCCCACTTGTGGACCTAGTTCTGCCCTGTTGAGCCATACAGAGCAAGTCTGACTCTCATTCACATTGTATGCCAGGCTAAATACACATTATATCCCAAAGCCCTTCAATCCCTGGGGCCATGGAAGGGCACCTCGTGCCCACCTGGGGCTGGTCAGAGCTCCCTCTGTTGGCTGGGCTCGTGCAGCGACAGGTCTAATGAGGGCTGTGCCAGGAGTGCACACTGCCACTCTGCAATGTCACCTCTGAGATGGGGCTCCAGCCAGTGGGCTCCTGAGGCTCCTTGCATAGGAGCCCCCCCCACAACGCCCTCCATCTGTGGGGATGGGGGTGGCAGGGGGTCAGATGGAGCCCAGGAAGCTGCATTCTTTCTCGGAGTTCCTTTCCATTCAGGAGACTTCTTTCTACCTGTACCATCACACACTCATGTCCTCACCCTGGTCTCTGTCCAACCAGGGCCTCGGTGGGTTTGCGCAGACCAGTCACTTCTGTCCAATCCCTGAACTCAAGGCGCATGTTACTTACTAGTCCATAGGCTACCAGCTGATGCTCCTGAGCTGGGCGGGGAGGTGCACCGGAGGGCTGTTTCTCCCCCTCACTTGCAGCTCCTTGGCTTTCCTCCCAGACAGCGCTGGCTCCCTCTTGGGGTACCTGTCTTCAACGAGAGTTTGCTCTCCTCACACCCCATTGGAGTAGGGGCTTCGGAGAGTGTGCTCACTGCAGAGGGTTGGGCCTAGAGCTGACACCTCTTCTCTGGACAGATGGACCCCCTTTCCTGGTGCTCCCCTGCTGGGGAGGGGAAAGAATTGAACTCCTCCCTGGGCCTTTTCCCCAACGGAGTCGGCCTGCTCTTTCAGCCCTCTTTTTTCTTTTTTGGACCCTTCATTGGTGAAGACTCTGCTGGCCCCGAGAGCCCCCGTGACCTGACTCCAGGCCTGGCACCCTCCCCCAACGTTCCTCCCCCCCCTCTGTCCAGCTTCCCCTACTCTCTGCTCCCCTTTTCTTCCTCTTTTTCTCTCTGTTCCTTTTGTCTTTCCTCTTTCTGGAACTTCTGACTAGCCCCCCCCCCCCCCCCCCCCCCGTGCCTGCCCCTTGACCTCCTGCCTCCTCAGCCTTCCCCTTGGTGCCAGGCTGTGGCTCAGGGTCCCGGCTGCTCCCCCCACTCTTCTGCTGCGGTTGACAACGCGTGTGGAGCTCAGCTGTACTGCCGGAGGGGCCCGTGCCGCCCAGAGCCACAGGAGAGTCTGTTTGCCTCCACTGCAGGGACCTTCAGGGCCCGGGGATGCCAGGTTCCCCTATTCCCCTTTGCTTCCTAGCCCCTGGGGTTCTTGGCAGAGCCTGTTCTGGCATAAGTCACAGGATGCCACGATATTGCTGTTAACGGAGGGCTGGTGACTGTCCCCTCTGACAGGCAAGAAACAGCCCAGTGAATACCTGTTTCTTGCTCCCAGCTTAGGATCCTCTTGTTCAAGCCCCTCAGATCACAGGGAAGGAAGCTAAGGCTTAGAGAGATTTGCCCATCACAAAATGAGATTAGGACCCAGCTTTTCTGCCTCCTGGTGCAGGACTTTGTAGTTCCTGGCTGTCGGGTCTGAAGGAGTGAGACATTCAGGATCCTAAGTGCCAACTTCACGGGGCTCCGGTGCTCTGTTCCCTCTGCAAGGTTGGCCAACTGGCATGTTGTGGGTCACGTGCCCCAGCAGGGGGACGGCCAGAGGCCCAGGCTGCAGCTCTGTGTAGACAGCCCCTGCTTTCTGGCCACGTGGGGCACTTAGAGCCTGGAGTTGGAGGACAGCCACGCTGGGGCTGGGCAGGGGCAGGGGACTTTGCTTATGGTGCCTGCTTGGTCCATGACCTGCTGTGCCCTCAGAGTCATGCTTTGCGGGTCTCAGTGTCCCTGTCTATGAGGCCATAGCCCCTCCTAGGGAAACCGATAAATACCAGTTCCTCTTCAGGGAGAGGGACCACTAGGTCCCCAGTGACAGCCTGGCATCCTCTGGGTCAGGAAGGGTAGAAAGAAGGTTCCTGTAGGGGTGGTGCCAGCCCCCTGGGACTTTGGGAGGCATATGGCCACCGGAAGGGGACCCTGGGGCAGACTCCTCCATTTAGCTCAGAGCCCAGAGGGCATGGGTAGTGATGTGCCACATCCTGAGCTCTGAGCAGGGAGTTGTCCCAGGGCAGGGGAGGCAGGGGCTCTGGCCGGCCTGCGCATCTCCCTCCCAGAGATGGGGCGGTGTTGGGTTGGTCAAGCCCTCAGCCCCCTATGATCCCCTGTACACTGAAATTCCCAAGGTGCCCATCTCCCTCAGACTGGAGAGGCCTGGGCCCTTCTAAGAAGGGAGAAGCAAGCCCTCTTGTCACCTGATTGCCTTGCCCCCCAGCCCTGGGGAGGGTTGGAGCCCCTTTGGGGGCAGGAGGTATAGGGATCCAACTGTGGAAGGGGAGACAGGGCACCTGGGCACGCGTGGTCCCCGGAAAGTGGCCCGGGGGGGAACCCCCGCCTGCAGACACCCCTCCCTGTGAAGGATGTAAAAAAAAAAAAAACTTGTTCTGCCTTTTTGTCTCCCCTTCCCCTCTGCCCGCCCCATGGCCCCCCCAGACTGCCTGCGCGTCGGCTGCGCACCCAGTAAGTGGCTTCCCTCTTCTTCCGCAGAGCCCCAAGGGGCTTGGGATGCTGGACACTGGGGTCTGGGAGGGATGGTGGGGGGAGGAGAAGCCTCATCACTGGCTCGTGTGGGGGTTGGGCAATGGGCTGGGGTGTGGGGAGGGGAACCAGAGCCAGGAGGATGGGGGTGGTGTGGCTGTGGAAGACAGAATGGGCCAAGTGAAGCCAAACCAGGGCCAGTTTGTTGGGGGTCCGGGGTCAGCATGCTCACCAGGTCTGGGGAAAGGAAGGCCAGCAAATCTCATCATCTCAGAGAGGGTGGGATAAAGACTCGGTGACCCCTGCCCTAGGATGGCCCACTATCCTTTATGGGCCGGAAGGAGCTGGAGAGAGGGACTAGGATGTTCCGCTGCACCTCCACAAGCGGCCACAAGGGGGAGGGCGAGGCACGCAGGAGAGAAGATGTAGCTTGCTATGAGTGGAGGCCAGCTTGCTTGGTCAGGGCCTCAAAACAGCCCTCCCAGTGCCTGTGTCCCTTAGAGGCCAAGTTTTTGTAAGTGGGGGCGCTTTCAGAGTGACAGTGAGGCTGTCAGCAAGGGTGAGATGGAGAGTGAGTGTGGACATTTCTGAGCATCCCAGTGTCCTGGGCTCAATGCTGTCTCCCAGTGGTTCTGCATGGCGTGCCCTGAGGTCGTGTAGGAGAGTGCAGGAACAGGGCAGGTGGAGGCTGAGGGACTCTGTGTGTTGAGCGTGTCTCCGTGAGTGTTTGGTACCTGCGTGCATATGCGTGATGAGCCCTGTTCCCTGCTGGCCTGAGCACTGGGGAGCCCAGGGGTGACTGGGAGTGCTGCAAGGTTCGGCACCATTCTAAAGATAAATATTTTTTAGGCTTGGAAGCAGATAATCCTGGTCTTGATCAATGGTCATAATTCCTAAAAAAAATTCCCTTCTCTGGCCATGCTGAATGTGCCGCGTGTGGTTGCATGTCAGACTGTGGAGTTAACCTGTGTGTGCGGGAAGGTCACACTGGGTCCCCATGTAGATGGGGGGCTGTGTGTCTGTGTGGAGGTTCCAGCGCCAGCGAGGAAGCGGATGTGTGGTGAGGCTCGGAAAGTTCTAGGTCTGTGGGTGCATGTTGGGAGCTTAGGGGCTGGCCGCACACACGGACACTGAAGGGTGCTAGGAGGCTGGGAGAGATGCTGGTTGGGAGTGTCTGTGGGCAGGGCCTCACAAGGCATGGTTCGCATCGAGCCTCTTCCAACAGTGCCCTCAGATACCGTACGGAATGGTATTACTGAGTGTGTCTGGGTGTGTACAAAGCTCTGTTCGTGTGTACCTGTGTGCATGGTGTGTGGCCCAGTCAAATATGTGCCGTAGGTTGTGTGTGGGCCTGCGTGCACATGTCTGTGGGTGGTGAGGCTCTGTGCTGGGCTGGGGTGTGCAGCAGTGCACAGGTGTGCACAGGTGCCACGCTCACTCCCCCCTTGGTGCCGCAGGTAAAGGCCCCGAGACCCTCTTTGCGGGGCACAAGCTCAATGACAACGAGTGGCACACGGTGAGGGTAGTGCGGCGTGGCAAGAACCTGCAGCTGTCTGTGGACAACGTGACTGTGGAGGGTAGGTGGCCTGCGGCCAGGGAGGTGGACACGTCTCAAGCGACCTGTTCCTGGCCCCATTCTTCTGGGTGCTCACTGCCTAGGGCAGCATTCTCTCAAGCCGCTGCTGTCATTTCTCCCTCAAGGGTGGTATATTGGGGGGGCTGGACCCCGGGGACCATTTCGACTCCCTGCAGGCAGCAAGTGCCTGGAAGCCTGTCAACCCAGGACTAACGAGTCCCACCACTTCCCCTGGATCCAGGAGCCATGCTTGCTGTCAGCACCTACCTGAGAGCTGTTTGCTGATGTCTCTGCTGTGTGGCCCTGTATGGAGGGGAGGCTCCTGGGGACCCATGGCCCAACCTCAGAAATGATCCTACAGCCTGTGCCGCAAAGCCACGCCCCTCATCTCTGTCTCCTGTCCCAAGCAGGACAGATGGCAGGAGCCCATACACGGCTGGAGTTCTACAACATTGAGACGGGCATCATGACGGAGCGGCGTTTCATCTCTGTGGTGCCCTCCAACTTCATCGGGCACCTGAGTGGGCTGGTGTTCAATGGCCAGCCCTACATGGACCAGTGCAAGGACGGGGACATCACTTATTGCGAGCTCAATGCTCGCTTTGGCCTACGTGCCATTGTGGCAGATCCCGTCACCTTCAAGAGTCGGAGCAGCTACCTGGCACTTGCCACTCTTCAAGCCTACGCCTCTATGCACCTCTTCTTCCAGTTCAAGACCACAGCCCCCGATGGGCTTCTCCTGTTCAACTCTGGCAATGGCAATGACTTCATTGTCATTGAGCTGGTCAAGGGGTGAGGTGCTGGGCGCTGCACTGCTGTCAAGGAAGTGGTCCCCTCTCCCTGCTGGCCAAGATATGGCCCCTTAGCCACTGGCTGGGATGTCTAATCCCCCCCAGCCACAGGTCAAACTTGATTCAGGTTCCAGCCATCAGCCAGGATGGCGAAGCAGCACCCTTTCTCCCCCCTTGGTGACTCCCCAGTTACTTCCTCGCCAGGGGTTTTCCAGTTCTTCATTCGCTGTCTGGGCCTGGGCCCTCCAGCCCTCTACCAGCAGAAGACAGGGCCGTGTTCCGTGGCCTCTCTTACCCAAGAAAACCCCACTTAGAGCATCCCTGTCCCTGATCCCAGGGGACCGTGCTGCCCCCACCAACCTCTCCCCCTACCAGCTCCCCAGTGGCCCTCCCTCTGCATGTTTTCCCCAGAACTGGGGTCCTTGTGCCATTGCTTTGGGTTTCTCCCTTGTGAGGTCTCCCACTCTACCCCTTCCTCCTGGGGCCCCTGGGGCCCCTGCCAGCTGTAGTCCCTCCTTCCCAGCATCGCCACCACCTTGACCCAGTGTCTCCTCCCTACCGTGGGGCAGGTACATCCACTACGTGTTTGACCTGGGGAATGGCCCGTCCTTGATGAAGGGGAACTCGGACAAACCGGTCAATGACAACCAGTGGCACAACGTGGTGGTGTCGAGGGACCCAGGCAACGTGCACACGCTCAAGATCGACTCCCGAACTGTCACGCAGCACTCCAATGGCGCCCGCAACCTTGATCTCAAAGGTGGGGCCTGAGGCCTGGCCCTAGACCAGCTACCCCCTAGGCCCCGCAGGATCACCCCCACTCTGGGTGCTCTTCCACCAGCTTGATTCTGCCTCCTCCCCTTTTCCTGTTCCCACTGTGTCCAGCACTACGTGCCCCTGTCAGAGGTCTGCTCACCTCTTCTGCAAGACTGTCCTCTCAGCACTGAGAGCCTGGCCGCAGGACGTGTCTCATGGGGAGTTTGGTGGCCTTACTCTAAAGCTAGGAGTAGATAGCCCAGGCCTTCCGAAGACCTCTTGGTCCTCCGAGGTTGTGAAGCCTGCCTTGGATGGGGCTGGAGGGAGAATGGGAGCTTAGCATCCTGGGAGGTGCTTCTTAGAGAGGGGTGGAAGGGGCAGTGGAGGAGGGAGGAGGGAGTAGCAGTAGCTGGGCCCCTGCACGCTGCTCTGGTCGTATACTGTGGGCCTTGGCTGGGCTGGCTCTGGGCACCTTTTTGGGCCCAGGGCTCCCTGGTGGGCTAGCATTACACCAGGACCCACATTCCCAGGGACTCTTCAGCACCCATCGAAGTAGTTATCATCTGCCCCAGAAGGGGTGGTTCAGAGAGCAGGGAAGAGGAGGATGAGCCTGCAAGCTGGGCTGTGGGAACAGAAGTGAGGACAATACCCATGGCTATTCCAGACCCCAGTGGGGCAACGAGGGCCATTTCTTTCATAAGCCCAAGGCAGCGCTCAGTTCCTTCGGGACCCATGGGTATCTGTGACTCAGACTGTCTGAGCTTGAGGGGGATCCTCAGAGACTGTTGATTCATCCCACTCTTGGAGAGCTGTAAGAAGAAGCTTCTCGAAGCTAGATGGCTTGCCTGAAGTCCAGTAAGCAGGCAGCAGAGCCGGAACTGGAAGCTTGGTCAGATCCTGGGGCAGATTGTGTGGCATGGTGCTGCCAATTCTCCATGCTCCCAGAAGGGGGCGATGTGCCACAGGTAACCCACAGTGGCTGCAAACCCCAGGTGCTCTGGGCCTGCCTTGTGTTGCATTGAGCCCACGGCCCAGGCATCAGAGTTGACCTGGTGAAGCTCTGCTGTGGGCTGGCCCAAACATCCAGGGAGTTAGGTTTGAGGTGGCCAGGCAGCGGTGTGGGGATCAGATGGACCTGAGGAGAAGTACCCCGTGTCACCCAGAGTCTCCAGGCCAAGCCTTAGTTGGGGAGATGAAGCTGGGCTTCAACCCACCTGCCAGGAGAGAACTCAGAGTAGGGAGAGGCTGGGAGAGGCCTGAGGAGTTCTGGGGATGGGAGACTTTGGAAGGGGGGAACAGGGGTGGGAGGGAGTTGGGGCTGCGCATCTATGAAAGGGCCTGATTACAGGCCGGAACTGGAATCAGATGTGTGGGAGAGAGTGGGGAGCAATTTTCTCCAGCTGCTCCCTCCCATCTCCCCCCAGCCCCCACCCCCTGCATCTGGGCTTCTTCTCTGGGAGAGGAGCCGACAGATGGCAAGGTGGAGAAGGACGAAGAAAGAGGTGGGGGCGGGGCTGTGCAAGGCGCTGGATCTCCACAGAGGAAACCGGAGTGTGGGTCGGGACACTGCACGTGCAGGAAGATCTGACAGCCAGATGTGAAGTCCTGGGAGGGGAATTGGGACTGGGAGGCCCAGGTTTTTGACCCCACTCCCTTTGCAGGGGAGTTGTACATTGGTGGTCTGAGCAAGAATATGTTCAGCAACCTGCCCAAGCTGGTGGCCTCCCGGGATGGCTTTCAGGGCTGCCTGGCCTCAGTGGACCTCAACGGGCGCCTCCCAGACCTCATCGCTGACGCCCTGCACCGCATCGGGCAGGTGGAGAGGGGCTGTGACGGTGAGTGCAGGGTGGAGGAGTTAAGTGTGACCCTGCAGGCTGTAGGAGGGCCAGCTGCAGACGCACACCAAGGCAGCAAAGTGGCCTTTCTTCTCAGGCCTTGCACAAGCCTGCCCCTCAGCTCTGGAGCAGGGGTACAGGGGGGTGAAGGGTCACTTGCTCTCCTCCTTGCATCCCACCCTGGCCCCTTACCACGGTTCAAGGCCAAGCCTGGCAGTCCTAGAGTCCCCCCATTCCTCCCCCTCCCCCTTCATCAGTACTTGGCCCTTTCAGCCTAGCAGATCTCAGAGCAGAACCTCTCAGCCTGGTCCTGAAGCTTCCGTGCCTTCTGGGCGGGAGGGGGCTTGGCTGAGCATGGTATGTTCCTTCCTCCTGCTTCTTCCAGGCCCCAGTACCACCTGCACCGAAGAGTCTTGTGCCAACCAGGGCGTCTGCTTGCAGCAGTGGGATGGCTTCACCTGTGACTGCACCATGACTTCCTATGGAGGCCCTGTCTGCAATGACCGTGAGTGCCAGGGGGGCTTGGGGCTGCTAGGGGCTGGTCTGGGACCATTCCTCACCTTGGGGACAGCTGGGGAGGGGGGAGGGTCTCTGAGAGCCTTGATGCCTGCTTCCTTCTCTTCCCTCCTTGTCCTGAGAGCCCAAGGAGAGCTGCTGGCTGCTGTCCCCTCTCAGTCTTTTCTCTCAGGCCTGTGCAGGAGGGCTGCTGCCCGAATATCTGGGGCAACCTGTTGATAGACGGACTCTCTCCTTCGTTCTGAGCTGGCGGGACACTGCTCCCTTCACCCAGAACCGAAGGTGTCAGCCTCTGTTGCTCTCCCGAAGCAAATTTGGCTATGGTCTTCTGTGTTGTATGTATGTGTAGCTCAGACATACACACTCTCGCCCAGGGTCGGGGGCTGGTGTCGACCTGTACCCCCTTTTCTCTGGTGCCCTCAGAATTATGCAGTGGACACCTGTTCTCTCCTGCCTGGAGAGGACCATGCCCTGCAGGGCAGACTCAGGAGATTCCCAGGAGGCCAGGCCGCTGGGTCATCGGGCCCATGGCTTCCCTGGGCATCGGGTGTGCTGTTCTCTTCCCCGACCCACCCCAACTGCAGGTTGTCCCTTGGAACCACAAGGGCACTCCCTAGTGTCCTTGCCTGCTTCTTCTACTCCGTGGCTGAGTATCTACCTGCCAACTTGCATATTATTTGACCCCCCACCCCCACCCCAGGGCAGCTTCAGCAGCAGTTTCCAGTCCCCAGTGGCCGGTGGCCAGCAGCTGGTGAGAGCTTGGCAGAGAGAGGACCGCTGGGGCAGAAAAGGGGCAGAAAAGGGCAGAGGCAGCCTCCTACTGGAGGGGTGTTTGCAGCTCCCTTTGGGTGATCAGGCTGGAGCAGGGGCTAGGGAACAGGCTGCTCCCTCAGGTATCACTTCAGTGGTGCTTCCTAAGGCGTCAGCCCTGCTGAGAGACCAGGGAAGTTGACCACTCAGCTGCCTGGGAGGAAAGATCCCCAAACATACACACACACACACACACACACACACACACACACACACAGAGGGGTGAGTGGATTTCTGGAGGAAGTCAACAGTAGATTGGGGCTAAGAGCGGGGGTTCACACCTCAGCCACTGTGCCACACCTTGGAGCCGCAGTCATTTGGGCAGAGTCCTAGTTTTCTTACGGAGTGGACTGGTTCTGGAATGGGCTCTTGGGTGGATCATGGTTCTCCTTCTCCCTAGAAAAAATATCCAGCCCATCTCCCTTGACACCATCCTTGTGCCCTCAGGCGGGGCCCTGCCCATTCTCCAGAATTTTCTTCATCTGACCTGCCATTCTGGGCACTTTCCAAAACTCCCAGACAATGGGCAGCTCAGAGGCATTCCAGCCCGGGTTCCGGGAACAGAGATGGGGCTGGGGCGGGCCTCTTCCTCTCTAGCGCGTTCAGCTGGGTGCAGATCGGAAGATGGTGGTACCTTTGCTGCTAATAATAACAATCCTCACTGATGTTTAGTGTTTTGGAGCTTGCAAAGCCCTTATAATTTGTTACTCAGAGAAGGCAGTGGGCTGGAGATCAACCATCCTATTTAATTCACGAGGAAGCAGACCTTGGTTCCTTGCCCTAAGCCGGCGTGCGGGTGGTGGAGCCTGGTGGGAACGCGGGCGCTCCTGACCCTGCTCCTCGATGCAGCTCACTTAGTCACAGGGTGCTGGCGGTGTGGGCGGTGGGCCTGGCTGGCTGAGGGTGCAGGGGATCAGGATCGAGAAGCACTGCTGCCCATGGTCGCTACTCTACTCCATGGTGGAACCTTCTAGAAGGGGGCATGGAAACAAATGCCGGTTTAGGGAATCACCGCGTCTTTCAGCAGGGAAGAGAGGTTGGGATTTCTTTGGTTCCAGGTGGGTGGGGGGTGGGGAGAGGTGGGGCTGGGGAAGTGGTACCATGCAGGAACCCTGGTCTGCAGTCTGGCACGCAGAGCCCTGGACAAGGTGGGTGCAACCTAGGAGCCTCCAAACCCGGCCCTGGGATACCCCTGAACTCTCTGCCCTGAAGGACAGGGCAGGAATCTGAGAGTTGGGGACTCTGCCAGGGCTTTCCAAGCCACAGCCCCCTTCTCTTGGGGCTGCCCCTCCTCCTGATTCTCCCTGTTTCATGTTCACGCCGTCTCTGAGGCTGGTCTTCCTGAGGCCCCACCGAAGCTCAAGGTCCAGCAGGAAACGGGCCCAGGCCTGTTCAGTTGTCCCCCACCCAGCCCTCGAGAGTGAAGGTCCTGGGGGCAGCATGGACACCAAAGGCTCTTCACCCGAAGAGGGAATGTGGGTGGGAATGGCCAGGGTGGAGAGAGCCTGACCCTGTCCTCGGAGGGTGGAGGTTGGGGTGTGAAGCTGGTTGGGGTGAGGGGGTCGGGTGGGTTGAGGCTGAGATGAAAGAGGTCCAATGTTTCCCTGTTTATGGCCTCAGTTTCTCCATCTGTGATGTGGGCACTAAACTGGGCTGGTGGTGAAGGGATCTCCGTGTCCCTTTTAGGCTCAGGAGTCTGTTCTGGGAGGTAGGAGAGAGATCAAAGGGCGAGGACCCATCTCCTCCATGAGAAAGAGGAAAGTGGAGAGGATGAATAAGACAATAGGCAGTGAGAGGGGAAGGAAGCCAAAAGGAGAGACACTTCCTGACATGCAGCCGAAGTCCCAGGGCTGAGGTTCCAGGCCAAGGGGCTCCCCTTGGGCCTGCTTACTGCTCTGTCTCTCAGAGCCTGTCTCAGGCCTCCCCTAGGCCATCAGTTCATCACCGTCTCTGACCCCCGTTTCTCATCTCTCCATTTGCTCTGTTCCTCTCTGCAGCCTCTATTGATCTCTCGCACACCTCTGTCTCCCTTCTTTTTTACCCTCTGTCTCCCACCACACTCCCCAGCGTCACCCCCCTCCAACTCTCTCCACTTCCCACTCACTGATATTGATTGGCCTCTAGGCGGTTTCCCTTCCTCTCCTCTGCTACCGGCTCCTCCCTCCTTCCCTCTGGGACCATAAATTTTCTGCCTGCTCAGAGCTGTGTCAGTCTATATTTCAGAGCTCTGGGCACAGCATGGGATGGAGAGGGCAGGAGGACAAGTCTTGGGGGGGGGACTTGTCCACCCTGCATGTTCTCTCCTCCCTCCTGGGGCCGCACACCACTTCGGACCCTCCTCTTGGGTACCTCTGAGGACCCTTTGTTCACTTCCGAAGGGCCACCGTCAAAAGGGGTCCTGGCATTTAGCAAGGGTAGGGAAGTGGCAGAAGCCACAAAGGGTCATGGGTCCTGGGTCCTGACAGCATCCAGGAGCTGTGTGCAGCAGGTGTGGGGCTCCTGGTGACACTTTCTGCTCCCAGATGGAATTCAGAATCAATAAGCAGGAGCTACCCTTCTCTCCCCCATTCTCCCTCACCCTTCTCCTGTTACCCCACTCCCTTTTGCCCCCTCTTCACCACTTCTCACTCTACTACCCTATATCCCTGACTCCTTCAAGGGTCTACCTCCACCTCCCCTCCCTCTTTTCCCACTTTTCTACTCCCCAATCTCAAGACCTAGCAGAGCATCCTCTGGGCAGAGCCCAAGCTGAGGTGGGTGCAGAGGTGACATCCAGATGAAGGGAAGGGAAGGGGGCCTCCCTGTACTTATCCTCTTGGGCTGTGACAAGTGCTTCCCAGAGACCCCCTAAGTCTGGGGGGCAGATCCCAGTTGAGGCAGCACACCTTGCAGAGGTGACTTTCTCAGCTGGACATAAATGTCCCAGGAAGGGTTTTGTCCCAAGTGGGACACTCAGTGGACAGGTGTCCTGGAAAATCCCCTGGGAGGGAGAGGTTGAGGCTGGGGGAGGAGCAGGGAGAGTGGAGAGGAGGGGTGTTCGGGAGGTTAGGGGCTACCCCTTGGGGAGGTGGTGAGGAGACTTCCGAGTGTACTGTGTCTTACTCCTGAGTATCTCTGAGGTTCCGATGCATTGTGTGTGTGCATACAAATGACCCTGTTTTTGGAGGGTGAGCCTGCAGCAGCTGTCTGTGTGTACTTGGCCATTCATTGCCTGTGACAAACACGTATGTGAGCCTGTGTATGCCTCTGTGAGCATGTGCATATGCTCGGCTGAGTGTGAGTTCATGCACCAGTCTATGAGCACATGCATGCACGTATGAGTCTCAGCCTATGTATGCATGCGCGCACACTGATGCCTGTATGGGCACGTGTGTGTCTCCATCTCCAGGCCCGTCCACATCGTAGCGCGCACGTGTGTTCTGAGGGGTGCGTGCAGAGGTGTCTGGTGGCCACATCTCTGCACGCCGGACCAGCAAGCACTATTGGGGTTCGTCCGGGTGCGGGGCGGGGGAGGGGAGGAGGAGGAAGAGAGCTGCCTCTCTTGCTAGCCTCAGACCCGTTCAATTATTCAGCAGGGCCCCTTCTTCGGAGGGGGCGGGAGGGGCGCGCGCGCCCCGGCGCGAGGGAGAGGCGGGGCGCGCGCCGAGGAGAGGCGAGCGCCGAGCGGGCTAGCCAGGTGACGCGCGCCGGAGCTGTCCAGCGCCGCCCGCAGACCGGGAGCCGCTCCGGTCCCTCCGCCCTGCCCCCTCCTCCTCCCGCGCTCCCACTCCCCTCCCCTCTCCACTTCCTCCTTTCCTGCCTCCTCGTCTCCCTCCTCCCTCTCCCTTCCAGCCTCTCTGCCTCTGCAGCAACACTCCGCTGCCTCCATCGCTCCGCCGGAATCTCGCAGGCTCGCGCCTTTCCTCTGCTCAGCCCTGCTCCCCTCCTCTCCTCTCCCCTCCCTCCATTCCATTCCCCCCTCACCCGGATTTGCTTCCCTTCCCCCTTCCCCCGCCCCTCCTCCCCCTGGCCGCTCCCTCCTTTGCGCGGGCCTCCGTCGGGCCGCAGCGGCGGCAGCCGCGCGGCCGGCCCTAGTCTCCGTCGGGTTCCCGCTTCTCTGCTTCAGTCCCTCCCCAGCCCGATTTTTCCGCAGGATTTCCCCCGCGGTCCCCTCCCTGCTTGGCCCCCTCGCCTTCCCCA